CTGTCATGTTCTCAGACCCTTGCGGCTCTGCAACAACATTTTAGCCATTCTCTGAAGTCTTGATCAGTTAATGTGGACTCATGAAGGTCGAATTTGGAGTGTTCCTATACCGAACTCGGTTGCATAGTCATGGCCAGATTGGGTTAATTTTGCCACCATGAATTTTTCCCCTTTGCCATGCATTTAGTTTCACAGTCAGGAAGATTAATTTCCTGTTAAGGCAGAATAGATATTGTGTTATTGCTATTGATCAGCTATGCTTAGTTTCTTGTACTACCAACGCCAATATATGTGGAAACTTGCCTATCATTAGAGAGAGACAGCGGCCAGCTATGATTAGTTGTGCCCGGAACTAATTCATCAGTTTTTTTCCCCCTTCGACATTCTTTTGTGTAAGATTTTTATTATCGAAAGTTGGAAGGATTTGCCGGATTTGTTGCCATGAATTTTCCTCGTGGCACCCTTGCTGTATCTTCATGTCGTGTCTTAAAGGTGAGTGAAGATGCCGTTATTGACTTTCAGATGGATAAGTCATTAGATAGATTTGGACTTTGGATCTCTTGAAAAAAAATTAGGACAACAGATGATATGAAACAATATATAACGTTATGATGAAATACTAGAGTGCACCATATGCTATGTTTGTACTGGGTATTCAAAGTAAAAGGGGGAAACACGGGGAATTTGTGTTATCAGTAGACCCCCCAGGTAAGGTCATCCCACTTCATTATCTTTATAATGTTAGATAAAATGTATCATATTTTGGTTAAATTTCAAAGGTCACTCTGTATACCAAGTGTGTCTTTTGGGATAAAATCTTATTATTCTGTAATTATTAACAATAGCTCCATGATATGTTTCTTCCAAGTGGTCACATATGCCATATCTGAGTTACAATTTTTTTGCCTGTCTACTCAGGTTAAAATTCTTGGTTATATCTGCATGCCTATATGATTCTCTTATCAGAGGATTTGCCATAATTTCCGCATACACTGAATGATTTTCTGCAAATATTATTTTTGATTATACTGTTTAACAGTATCAATAAGAAAATTTACTTAACAGTTATGGATGATTTTAATTTTGAGATGAATTAAACCATATCAGTGGGAAAAGTTCCTTGCAATTTGTCTGGCTTTAAATTTTCATTAAGGCTAATACACTGAAACACAGCTGTGATTTCAGAATCACGTTTTGGTTCCAAAATCAGGACATGATTGAAACAATAGGGTGTCACCAAACGCGCCTAACTTATCAATTTTCAGAGTTTTCCCTTCCCCAGATGAGTGTGACATATTAAATTTGCAGTTTCCCTTTCATTTGTGCTGTCCATTTTTCCTGCATTGGTATCATGCAGTGAGTGCAGAACACAGTACTGTGCTTATTTCCCTGAAGTTGATGGTGATGGTGGAGTCTGTTTCCTTTTGAAGTTTGTAATTACTCCTGTCATCTCCTGTCCGTGCCTGCTGTTTTTTTTACCTTGGCTTTATTTTAGAACCAGTCATAAAATAATCTTATTTGTATTTTATTTTACCTTCACTCAGATAATTACCATAATGATGGTTAAAAACAGATGATAGCATATCAGATCACTTCATAGGGTACTTTTGTGGTAGTCTTCAGCTGATTTTTCTAGGTTTTGTAAAAGTTTAATAAGGAAATAATATATATACAGTATCTTGGGCATTTTTTTCCTGGGTTCATTTTGGATACAAGCTAGTACAATGTATGAAGTTTTTTAGGGAACCGTAATAAGCTTATTTTCCATATGTATTGGCCTACAGCTGCAAAAGATACCCAGTTTTCACATTGTCATTTAATGAAGCATTCAACAATGTGTAGTCTTGTGAATAATGTAAAATATACTAGTATATCGGTATTATATATATAAAGAATGAACAATTTTTTTTTATATCTGTAAAAAATCTGAATTATTTTCTTTTCAATTTTCAGATCAGGAGATCGTATATCTATATGCTAATATTGAATTCATTAAGCATGCATAATGATCATATCAAGTTTGCATAAAATCTGATAAAATCTTTGACATTACTCAATTCAGGACCTTAGAAAAGACATTCTAATCGGTCAGAAAGATCTCAATATACTAAGGTGTTCTGGGCATTATCTTTGATTATTCAGGTATCTCGTAAATTTATGTTTACCTGCAAAGCAGTGTCATCTTATTTTCCTTTACGAACAGAATAAAAGAGAATAAAGGACTGCGAGAAAATTACAAGATATAAAAGGACCAGATCTGGAATTTTAATAGTATACTGCATCAAATTTCAGAGGGCAGTGCTGAGCATTGCAGAAAAGATTTGTATAAGATGGAAGCAAAATAGAATTGATTCATTGATAGCTAGGGCGAAAAAAGGGGGAGGGGGTGTAGGCTATTGTATTTCTGATTTCGGAAAGTAGAGTGAGAAGAGAGGTACCCTTTTTTGAAGTGTTATTTTGATAAGTTAATATATGAAAATTTCACTCTTTTTTGGTTATTATTGTCTTTGTTTATCATGTTTATCAGTGCCACTGTTGAAGTGGCAGTCACTTTCGTCTTAACCTCTGTTATCTCAAACTCTTTCAAGTTGAAGTATTTTAAGAATATTATAGAGAGTTTAGAGTTTTCAATCCAATATTTAGATGACTGATTACTAAAGATATATGTAATAAAGATTTCATAAAGATTATGCAATTTTTCACAATATTTTTTAAAGGATGTGGTGTAAGAATCTATAACAACAGTTTTCCTTGGTAATTATAAACAGAAAATATTGACTCTTTAGAACTTGTCTTGAAAAATATTTTGCCTATGGCTAAGTTCCAACGTGGAAGTTTTTGAAGAATACCTTTAAATGGACACCAAGAACACACAGAAGGACATTTATCTGTGTTAAGAATGTTCTGTTTGTCAGAAGGATATATAACTCAAAATCAGAAACATATATATCTAAAAGGTCCCAATCTGATGTCCCTTTAAACAGCGAGACTGATCGAGGATTTCTTCTTTTTCGGAATGATTACTCTAAATTTATTTACCTGAGGAAACATAGCTACCTAATTTAGGCTTTGGTTCCTCCTTTTAACCAACTTATTTTGTGGATTTAATAGATCTTTAAACAGGATGTATGGAAAAATGGTGAAAAAAGAAATAATTGAATTGAAATTTATTTTGTGACGACTTTTTGACAAAGAGAGACCAAAGAGATTTATGTAGGTGTATTTTGTTTTTCGTCTCTGTCGGTGATGGAGGTTTTGTGTCGAGTGTGAATTAATGTAGATTCAGCAGTAAAGGAGGACTGGATCGACACAAACGTCTATTGATTTACAGTGTCCCTCGGATTCATCTGCCACAGGAAAACCTCCGTTTCTTCTGGTGTCAAAGTTGTATGGCCATTAAATGGGTCTTGTTCATAATGCAGAAAATAAGGTTGCTGTGTTCCGTAAGAAAAGAAAACTGAATTATTCACCGGAGTAAAAGAAAAAAAAATTATCTGCAGATAAAAAAGATCGTGAAATCTTATGAGAGTTTTGTGTCAAGTTTATTGCAGTGTGTATGGATTTTGAAAATTTCGAAGCTGCCAATCCTTTAATTAAAGATTTTGAGGATAAGAACCAGAAGAGAATTTAAAGGAGCTAAATTCTGTATGTTATTAGAGTTCTGTATGATTATCATTTGCTCGATAGATGAAAGAAGCCAGTTTCTTTAGATTAGCTGCTCTATGACTGTTGATTATTGAACAGATCCACACCTTGCATTTCTGTTGAGATCATTGTCTGTGTGGATTATAGTTGTCATTCCCTAAGTGTGATATTCACTTAGTTTCTTTTTCTGCCATCTCGAGAGTTTCCTCAGCAGTCCAAAGAGCCCGAGGACCAATGTTTTTGAATGTTTATTAGATTATCGGAGTTCTCCAAGCTTTGTGTATGTAATCAGATTTGGGTAAAGAATGATGGAATATTCCTTTGTAATGAATTTCAAGAGATTATATGTTGTGGCTCTGGAAAGATAACGAAGCAGACAGAAGAGAAATTCCAGAATACATGCAACCATTGTATAAACCTACAGAGGAAATGTTTGGGACATTGTGGCATACTTCTTTGCAGATTCCTAGAGAAAAGTTAACATTTAACAAATTAGCAAAACAGGCAAAAAAGTGAATTTTATCAGTCATCTTACCAGGCTGTTGGTGACATTTCATGATACAATGTATATTAATTATTTGAGTGTTAGTTATGTGCATGATGTTTGGACTTAAGAATTTTGCTACTCTTGGATTTCATGTGTGATCACTCTGAAAATTAAAGACTGAAAGATTCTATACATTGTATCAAGGATAGAATAATCGATTTAATAAAAGTGTAACCGATTTAAAAAGCTGAAATAGCACATTTAATTGTAACATTAATAACTATCATACCACAAGTCATGGAGCTGGGGAAAAACAATATGTATTTAAGAGCTTTAACCCCAGATAATCTCAGCTTTCGACCCAAGCGAAATAAGGATATGCGCAAACTGGCTTTAACATTCTCCTATAGAGATTTCACTGACTTCTTTAGGGTAAGTCTGCCATTAGAATGACCTTTGTTTACAGCATGCTATGGAGCTGGAATTTAATTACATTATTTCTTTTGTGAAATGGCCCTATTTATTAAATTCAAATGGGTTTGTATTTGAATTTTGAAGTGTTTTTCAGAAATCAAATTTGAATTGTATTTTGTACGTTATGATCTTGAAATTTTTGTTAATTAAACATGTAACATTATGTATCAAACTGACATTTTATTTTAGTATCTGAAAATTATTAGTACTTGATAGTTATTTTCCTATTATTATAATAAATTAGCTTTAGATTAGCTCTTCAGTCAGGAGTGTTTGTATTAGCCTAAGCACTTAACTGAAATGTTTCTGTTGCAGTTCATAGAAGATCGAATTAAGTTTGTAGAACATGAATTTTGTTAGCGATTGTCATGGTGACACTGTTTCTGTATTTCAGAGAGACAAGGACAGAACACCAGAAGATGGGGATAAATGGTTAAAGCCGAACACAATACGTCATCGGAGAGCCTCGCGACTTCAAGCACCCCTCAGTCATTCACACGAGGTAAGACTCCTACACTCAGTTTATCATCTGAAAATTACAGGTATATTGAAAAACTGATATAAACTTCATGTACAGGTAATTTACTGTAAAAAAGAACATAAAAATAAAAAAGTTGCAATAGTCGTCCCTCATTTTCATAGATGTCACATGTTGGCTTGTATTCAAAAGAAATATTGATACCTTGGCCGCCAAACTAGGTTACTATCCATATTGGATTAAAAGAGTCGAATATGGCTTCTTTTGAAGTGAGTTTTGTAATACATCTTTTTTCAAGTCATGATTGTTAATTCATTCCTTTTGAGGGATTTTGCATTAGTAAAATGGTGGAGTTTGTCTCTAATAGAGATATATCATCATTATGATATGGATAGTCTGACAGTATGTAGCAAATCATAATAATCTCTCTAGGGATTGAGTTTGCTTCTTTTGTCATGAGACCAGATGACTTCCAGGAATAGTTACAAATAGATCGTATATACTTTCATTGGAGATCCACAACTACTTCATATTTAAATATTCTGTTGCCTTTTAATAAGATTTTTATGAATATCAACCAAAAACTTTTTAAGCAAGCTGGAACCACCATGCATGGTCATGATAATGAAGGAAAGGTGCCATTAAACGTGAATGAATCAATGTAATTGAATTTTTACTTGAATCTTATGCTATAACTGGTAATTTACAAACTTTTTTGTGACATTTCGTTAAATAACATTTTTAAAATTCTAAATTAGAAGTAGGAATTAACAGGAACTTATTGTGCCAAAGCTATGAATAGAAGTGGTATATACATATAATTATGGAAGATATGCATGGGGGAAGTGTTCTTGACTGCATATAAAGGATGGTGTGAGAAAATCCATCATATTAAGGCACTAAATAGTTTTGATCTCTCAAGTATGCAGAAGGTATGTTGCATACTTACTTGTTCTCATGAATGTACATTGTTTGTGGTCATTGTTTCTGTGTGGGAAACACTTAACCCAAACATGGTTCACATCAGGAGCATGTATAAAAATAGTGGAACAATAAAATATTTCGGTTAGTTTGTACAAATCTTGATCCCAATTTGGGTCCATTTTTTGGAGTTAAAAATATTTGGGTATTGTAATGTTGGATCTATATAGTGTTGCCTGTCCACAAGGTGGACTGGTCCCCGCAGTGTTACCAGTTTACAGAAAATTTTGTCGTAAATTCATTTTGGTAAGTATTTTTATTTCATAATATTTCAACTTCATTGAAGAAATTCAAAACTAAAGTATCAATTATGATCAGTAGTGGCAGACAACCTGAATGACTGTTTCATTCTAAGTTGAAGATATACTTGTAATATATACCTTCCGCATGTGTCTGCCACTAGTTACATGGTGTATTCCTACTTTTACAAATTACTTGTTATATTTCTTTTCAAAACCCTTCTGAAAAAAATTATTTAATGAAAGTAATAATTGTTTTTATATGTATATAATTAGCATGCTTAGTGTGGTATACGTAGCTATGGCTAAAATCAAAATTGTGAGATAGTTCCTTGATGATCAATGGCTTCTGATAACTAAAGGTAAATAAGGCTGAGCACTTGATCAAACATATCTGTTCTGGGTGTCCATTCTATTGATTGAATTTTTGCTTCTCTTCGAGGAATTGGGACACAATTATCCTAAGAACATGAAGAATACTGTGAATTTTTGGAACGCCATTCTAATTTTTTTTAACCATAAACCTACTTCATTTTTGTTGATCCATGTTTCTATCTGCACTGTTTATAGTTTAGTATTATTCACTTTCACCTGTTATCCTAATTAAAATCTGTGGTCAGAATTGTTAATTCCGACTGTAATAACCAGGGTATTTTGCTTTATCATGGACAGAAGGTTTAAAACTCGGCGTAAGAGGATTTTGACATGAAACTCTCCAGTGCTGAGTACATGAACAAGTGTGCATGAGTACTGCGTTCTAAAGGCTCCAGTTGGAGTACGTTTAAAGAAGATTATAAATTTAGTATTTATACTGGTCATTTGTGTACCAAAGCTCTATTAATGTCTGTTGCATACATGTGCATCATTCTTCTTTCTTTCTTAAATCGGACCAAGTATTCATAACCTATTTTTAAATCAATCTTTGTTTGCTTTCAACATGTTCAAGCAGTATTAACTTTTCATGATATGGCCATGACAAAAATCGTACAAATAGAGAATGTGCGTGACTCTCAGAGAACTTCTTAAGATAAGAACTTCAAGGATTTTTAAAATGTTCATTTAATAAAAAAGGGTTTTCATGAAGAGGTTTCGAATTCACAAAGTTAAGCTTTATAAATTACAAGTTGACAAATGCATTTTTCTCTAGGTGTGTTTTAATTATTGATCAGATATTTTTGTATTTCAAAATTACTGAATAGAGTGTGTTTTTAATGGGCCCTCAAGTTGTTTATTTTAGCAGAGAAAAAATTTATGATGTATCTTTAAGGTACCATTAAATTTATTTTTTAAATGGCCAGGAATGAATAATTTTACCTCTTTTTATGTGCTTAAGGATTATAAAAATCTTAAATGTGTTATACAACATTTCTTTTTGTGATTGATTTGGGGACTAGATTTTAGCATTAGAAACACTGGACTGTTCACAAGGGTGTTTCAGTGTTCCAAGGTGTTTCAACCACCCACCCTTATTTTTTCCTACCCCTTTAATTAAAGTAATGTAAATTAATTAGTCAAATCACTTCTCTTGTGCAGGCTGTGTGTCTTTTAGTATTCAGGAGAGCTGAACATTGCAAGTAAAGTTACTGATTTGGATAAAAAGATTATATTTAAAATATTATAACCATTATAGAAGTTTTGAAATTTTAAATATTTGGCACAAAAAAGCATTATTGTAATATTAATTGATTTAGTTCTTCATTATAAGTACAAAAAGTGAAACCCATGCCTGAATAGAACCTAGCTGTGACCCACAGATCACAAGCTGTCACTAACTGATCAGACTATGTGGTAAGTTGGTTAAAAATTGAACCTGTGACCCACAGATCACATTATCACTCTAACTGGTCAGACTATGTAGTAAGATGACCCATAGATCACATGCTTGACACTCTAACTGGTCGGACTATGTGGTAAGTTGGTTAAAAATTGAACCTGTGACCCACAGATCACAAGCTGACACTCTTAACTTGTCAGACTATGTGGTAAGATGGTAAAAAAAAAAAATAAATGAAGATTATTTATCATATGTAATAAAAAGATAAAAGTTAATTTTCTTATTTATTTCCATATGAAGTATTTCACATAATTGAGGTGTCTCTTTCCTTCTTAAAGTAGTAGAATTAAATGTACTAGATAAATATGATAAATAATTGGTATATATGTACATGATCAATATAATTATATATATATAATTTTTTTCAAATATTCATAGTAAACTTATCAAAAAGTATCATTTTTTTGGGGTAAAATAACCATGAAAACTGAAAGAAAAAATTTAATTCCTGGTGGGATGAAACCTCATTTTACAGTTTGATTACCAAGCCAATGGTTTTAACTACTGACTAACATATATTGAGTCAGCACATTTAGAAACAGACGAGATATTGCGTAAAATTGTGGGCATTTTTATGTAATTCAGAATATAAGAAAAGAAAAGTAATTGTAATGATTTTTTAATCTTCTAGACATTATATAATTGATCTTCAAAGCACAAATTAAATAATTTCTTAATACATGCATTCTTCATGTTCTTATTATTTTTATTTATGAATTAAAGGTTAAAGTTATGTACAGTGTACAGTTGAACTTTGGTATCTCGAACACTGATATCTCAAACACCATGGATATGTCGAAGTGATTTGGAAGTCCCAGCTACTCATTCTTTAAGTATTTTACCCTTGATATGGTGAATCCTCGCATATCTCGAAATTTTTATCTCGGTCCCATCGAGTTCGAGATAACAAGGTTTGACTGTATGATTTTTTTTTTTTTTAAAATCATACTAGTCACTTAAATAATGAAATCTCTGCAAATTTATATACCCTTTTTTTCTGTGGAAGCTAGGTGTTAGCTGACAAAATGTATTGTCAACAGTTACTCAGCATTTTTATATTACAAAAAAATTGCTGCAATATCAGCGATGCATTTACTCATTCATTTGGCATAATTTCTTCACATAAGGTGTTCCCTTGCTCAAGCCACCCAACCAAATAGTCCTGTGTATTAAATATATGTGTATTGTTGAGAAATGAATAGTAGATGACACTTTACACCATCACTATACTTGAGAAATTGAGATATATCCTTCTGATTTGACTTTGTCGTACATTTTGAGTATGTGCACTATGTGAATTAAGGTAGTGTTTCTCTGTTCTTATATTGCTGTACTTAAGGTAGTGTTACTCTGTTCTTATATTGCTAAACTTGAGCAGTGGTTCCATCGTTACTGAAAAGTTGAGAAAATAGAAACACAGGAAACCCTAATTCTCCCTTTTTAATATCAGATGGGACATTCTAATGTGTGCAGTTAGGAAAATTCAAGTTTTAGTGTCTTTAGCAAGGCACTTCATGGCTTTATAATACCTTTTACTACCTAAGAAATAAATTTTGTGAAGGACAGTGTTTCCCTTGTTAAAATTCAAGTGAAATTCAAGTTCTGATGAAATTTTCAGGGAAGATTTTTGATGATGTTTTGTTTCTTAATTATGTTGGAATTCCAGTGAAATTCAACTTAGTTCTGTTTGAAAATTTTCAGAAATTTTCTTGCTATGGATTTTTTATGTGATAGTGAAATTTAACATCTCATTGTGTGTTTCCAAACAATCAAGTTAAAGTCAGACAATGTGATTTTTTAAAAAAAATTTACTGGACATTCATTCAAAATTCAAAAGTTTGAAAAAACGATTTCTTATCAAGGGATTCAACTCACTTCCAGATGTGTTAGAACTACAAATATTGGATATTAATTGGTAATTGGTCTGAATTTGATTATTTTAAATAAAATAAGTTAAGACCATGTGACTTTTTAGCGGATATTAATACTGGAACTTTAATTCAAGTTTTTGAATTCAGCTGTTACATACTTAAGTGTATTTGAAGTTTCAAGTGTGTTCTGCTGTGTGACTTGAAGATGTGAATGACTTGTTGTAGTACATGTACTAATATGGAATTAGCTAATTTGTCATTTCATCAGTCTCTTCAGGTAGGTCTAAAATGTCTACAGTCGTAAAAAGATTTCTGACATTTTGAATTCATTTAATTTTATAAAGTTGTAAATATAATCATGTCTGAAAGGTAATTTGCAAATTGTTGAAGATTATAATTTTTGCATATATAACAGAATCTTCTCTTTAATATATTTGTTTATAATAAAGTGATTGGATAAGAAACATGCTCACTATGAAGGTAATGTTAAAATCAATGTCAGTTCCATAGGGTCCTAAATTATTTTGGTTGATTTGTATGCAGAATGCACACAGTTTTTTTAAATGGAAAAAACAAAAATATCTGGTAGAAAATGTTATGTTCGATAGTTTTTATTCTGTATTTATTGATTTTTCAAGATTTCTAACCATGATGATGATTTCAGTTTTTTTTTGTTTTGTTTTGTTTTTTTGTTTTTTGTTTTTTAAATAAATATAATTTTTATTTGATATAACAATGAGGGTATTCTTATTTTCATTATTGATATCTGACTCTTCTATACCTTTTGTGTGGAGAGAGTATACTCATAGAAGTAAATGTCTGTAGCTATCAGTCCTAATCATTTATAGGTATAAAATTTGGTCAAAATTATTATTATAAAAAAAGAGAATATATTTTTTATTTTTTGTTTGTTAAAAAAGGGAAAAGATTATGTTGTATAAGTTACATCCTTATGAGGCTTCATCATTCTAAAGAATATTTATGATTTTTAAAAAAAAAAAAAAAAAAAAAAAAAAAAAATATCCCTTTGATAAGATCTTGGGTAGTCAGCACCATAAAGTTTTTTTGCACAAAACTTTTATTATGATTGTAAAAAGCAAAGAATTGGTCTCCATGCTCCCAAATCATACATATGTACACTGTATATATATGTACATATATGTATGAAGCCAATGACAGAAATTTCCATTGGGATCTGCAATTAATTAAATGAATGATTGAGATTAATTAGGAGAGAGGGGAAATGGTATATTGGATTGGTAATACTTGTAAGAGGCACAAACTGGATTCAGATATGTTTGCTTAAGAAATTATGATCATCTGTTATTTCAACAAGTAAGATAAAATACAGGATATGATGTACAGTTTGAGACTGTTATGATAGGATTAACAAAGGCTAGGATTAACACCTTTCTGTCTTGTGGTTATACACGTGATCTCAAAAACATTAACCTTCTAACAAAAACAGAACTGTTAAATACATTTAGTGTTTGTCATGAAAGCTCAATTCTTCTTCTTCTTCTTTTAAAGTTATAATTAATATTATTACTTTTTAGTCAGTTTTAATTCAGTTTCAACATAGGTTTTGACACCACTGAACTAATCAAATATACTGGTGTCAAAACTTTTGACTAATCTTAGACTGCAGGGAGCCTGAACTGGTCAGGCCTGTAAACTACTCAGAATCTGTCACTTTCAGCCAAGAGCCATACTGTGATTGGTCAATTATAACTGTCCACTGAGAATAATTTGATCTGATTGGCTGAAGTGACAAACATGTTCCACCTCATTGGTTAAGCTAATTAATGTGTGAAAACATTGAATATTACATATGGAACAAGAAAATAATCTAATTATCGTCTCAAATTGATTTGTACTGATAAAGATCTCTATGTCACTTTTTGGGTAATTGAATTCTGCCATGGAATCTAATATAAAGTTAGACCAAACCCTAAATTTCAGTATTAATGTAATTTTTATCAGTCTCTAAACATCTATTCGTGAAGTGTAAGTATAAACCCCCAATATGTATTTGGACATTACTATCAAGAGATCAAGTGTAGAAAAACAGCAGCAATATGAGAGATTGTATCAGAGTACTCGAAGGAGGAAAAACAGGGGAGAGAATCTGGACAAATCTTTCAGCATCAGGAGACTCTCAAAAAGACTCAATAAATCTTTAATTGTTGGAAAACTGAATGCAGTAAGTGATATGAATTTGAGAGCATTATGGGGTTTGATAAAATATATATGCCAAATGATTTTTTAAGTCTCAGTATTTAATAAGTGAAATAAATAATATATACATTTTTTGTTTTTCTTAAAATAAAAGAATTTTTTTTGCCAAGTTCTTATTTTTTTTTAATCATATTAATTAAAATGTTATTAATTAATTTCTTGAGAGATAATGTTTTTGAAGCATTAATTAGATGTAATATGGCAATTTTATAATCTTATTTTCATAGTATTAAGGATAATTAAACATAATTAAGGCACTGTTATCACAAAATCTGTTATTCTTTAAATCTTTTATAAATGTATCCCAAGTTGCTTTCTTATGTAAGAGGATTATTTATAAACACTTATTCTTTTTAAGCTTTATTTAAAAAAAGCTGTTTTTTGTTTAGTTTACTGTCTTGACATGTCACAATATACATCATTAATGTAAAGTGACACTTCAGTATTTTTTATGTACTTGATTTTTTTTCCCATCAAAAGAACAGTAGCATGCTATTGTTTAATGATAATAACCTGCCCTAGCTGTGATCTTTACTGGTTCATTTAAAACTTGTGTAGCTGGATCTTTTCATTTGGGAGTCATAGTGTAATCAACTAAATGCACCTGAAATAAGGACATTGGATTAAACACCGAGTTATCATGCACCACGTCACCTGATGGTTCAAAAGTGATTTTTATTTTCTGACTACTATAATCTGAGCTGACAGGAAGTTGAATTTTTTTTTTCCAACAAGGAAGTTAGTTTGGACAGAAAGAGTCCGAATTATTAACCTGCATCTTTACCAGAATTCAAAGATTTTTTTCTCGAAATCTGATCGATAAGGGTTTCCTCGGGGAATTTTTCATTAGAAAAATGACTTGGAGCTCATTGTTTTAAGGACAGTGTGAGAGGGGTATGATGTTTTTGGGCAAGTCAGAAACTTTTACTCTTGGCCATGATGAATTGTCCGTTGGGATATTGTTTTCTCCCAGCGGTAGATACAAGAGGAGATGGGTAAGTTCATGATTTTAAAAAAAATTGAAAATAAAATACCCACATGGATATCATAGATGTCAACCTTCACAATTAATTTTCGTTAGATTTTTCTTCTCTTAATAATGCAAGAGTATCTAAAGGCCATGACTCTATAAATTTCACTTTGATTTGGCCTAAACTGCAACCTTAAATTTCCAAATTATGGCTTTGTAACAGATAGTTTTTTTTTTTACCATGGACCATTGAAAAAAAACAAACTGGTTTCAGATTATATGAATTGAATGATATCAATTGTTGAATTAGCCCCAATATTTTTTTGCTACAGATAGGATTTTGATTGAAAAAAGTCAAACTGGTTTCAGGTTATACATGTATTTCAGTTTGAATGACCTTGTTGAATTAGCCCTAATACCAATTGATTTATTATATTTTGATTGATAGGTATAAATCTTCAAATTTGATACACTACTCATTGAAATGCACAACAACGACAAAAACAATAGCTGCTGGGGAATTGTTCCACTCTGCTTGTGCTGTTATCCACTTTGATTTTTTCTGTTCGTAATCAGATGATAGACTAGGCGACAATGGCTTCCAACACGTCCCTACTGTCTGGAAGCTAGAGCTGGCTTTTTAACCAGAAATGGCCTTCAGGCAGTTCACTGAAGATTTCTAATGATTTTGGATTGGGAAATCAGTGGCTATAAAAAGGAAAGGTTACACATGTAACAGTTGTTAAAAAGACAAGACTGTAATTTGTCTGCAGGGGAGATTCATTGATCAACCAATTTAATTGTATAGCATTGATAAATGATATTTTATGCTTGTATAAACTTGATAATATATCTGTCAATCTCAGGATAAAAACACTTTACTACCAACAGAATTTTAAAGTAACTGGTTTATGGGTTTGTGGAAGGATGTAGAAAGTGTTTTTCTAAATTTAAATGCAAAGCCTCTTATTTTTTTTTTTCTGCATTTGATTAGTGGTGAAGGAATTTGATCGGAAGTTATTAATTTCTCTCATTGAGAAAGTAGATTTTTTGAGAACTGTGTTGTGTATACATGGTACAGCTTTGAGAGTAAAACATGCATTTCTTAGAGGGCAGGTCTGAGAGCATGTTTGAATTGACTGAAGGATTTTCTTACGACTGCGAGGAAGACCTTCTTAATATGAATGTGATGGTGAGTGTGTCAGGCTCATTTTAGCAGTGTAGGCTCCATTTCTGTGTTTTCTTATAACCAGGTCTTCATTATTATTTGAAGAATGATGTTCTTTTGTGAATAGGAGGTAAATGAAGTTTCTATGACTTGGAGGTGTCTTCACCATTTTAAGGCCACTTTTATCAAGAATTAGTTTTTTTTCTGCTGGTACCAGATAGTATCTTGAGAAAATGGGTGGGGATGGGTTGGGGGGGGGGGGGATAAAAGTATTCAAGCTGATTTTAATGACAATCTTCTGCATCTTTCATTGCAGAGATGGTTTGTTTATTTCATAGAGTGGTATGACCATATAATGTCATTATTTTCCATAAGAAATGACACCAATAGTTGCCCGGTAGTATTGTATATGAAATGTCTTTTCTCTATTTTTAGTCTCTCATTGCCTTGGAACATGATCACCAAGGACACCGAATCTCAGCTGCCGGCAGCGTCAACAACATCAACTCACCCAACAGCGATGACGAGGAAGATCTCAAAGTGGAAGAAATCGGTAGGGTCGCTGGATGGGCCGTTAATTTTGAGAAACTTCTCAAGGATGGATCTGGATTGGTTATTTTTACGGTGAGTTTGTAATTTTTTTTTCTTTTTATAAAAACCTTGTTTAAAGATATTGCATTTGCTTGTATATTAAATATACCTAATTGAAATGTCATTAAGAACATTACTTGCATTTATTGCCTATTTCAAAATGATTTAAAAGTGCTCTATATTTTGACATCTTAAACATGGATTTTAAATGTTTGATGGCATCAGATGATATTTTTTAAGAGTAACACATTATTCAAATTTCTTGTTCTGTTGGAAATATAAATAACCCTTTCAAAAGTATGATCATAATTTTTTTTTTTTTACAAAAAGAGAGATCATATTGCATATGCATGTTTAGATCATTTAGAGTAATCAATAATTTGCTTCCTTATTAGTAATTTTCAAGTGTATAAAGAGATAAACACTCATTGTTTATTAAAATTTGTTTTTAGGAATTTCTGAAAAAAGAATTCAGCCAGGAGAACATTATTTTCTGGAAGGCTGTAGAGCAGTACAAAAAGGTCGTGGAGGCCGACAAACGCAAAGCCAGAGCTAAGGAAATCTTTACGAAGCATGTGTCTGTTAAAGCCACGGACCCAATTAATATTGAGCAGAATGCTCGCCAGCAAGTAGAAAAACAGCTGGACAATCCAAGCACTAGTACATTTGATCGACCACAACAAGAGGTAAAAAAAAAAAAAAAAAAAAAAAAAAAGCAGGAAAAGAAAAATCTTTTAAAGCAATTTATGCCATAAATATTTTTTTATAGGTATTTTTTATCCTCTCTGAAAATGAATAGGAAAAATTAAGACATTGAATTTATTGCTATAGAGGAAGAAAAAGTTTTTTATTGCATTGTTCCAGAACAAATAATCTATAATTTGTAGAGTTAAATGACCGAATTGTCATTGCTACTTTCCATTTATGAGGAAGCTTTATTATGGAATTAATGAAAAGCAAGTTCTTTGTTCAAATATTCATATTAGGGAAGTTAACATTGGTGCCAGAATAGCGGGGAAATATTCCTCCCCAGCTCTTTATTTTTTAAGGAAGCATAAACAGGAAAGGTAAAAATAAAATTGATGTAAAAAAAAATAAACAAACAAACTGTACATGTATTTTTTTTTTTTTTTTTTTACCCCATCAGATCTTCAAGCTGATGAAACAAGACAGTTACCCCAGGTTCATTAAATCTGAGATGTACAAAGTCTACCTCATGAGAGAAATGGAGGGAAAGCCTCTCCAGCTACCAAAACCCGAGGGGGAGGAACAGACAGGAAAAGCAAAGAAAGACAAGAAAAAATCCAAAGACAAGGACGCCGAGGAGAAAGACAAAGAGAAGAGACGACGATCACTGCTCCCCTTACCCTGGGGTAAAAGTACGCATCTGTAACAGTGTACTATATATTACATCAAAACACTACATTTAATCTAAACAAAAAAATGCATTTTGTACTTCATTAGAAAGCTCTTTTGCTGTTTTCAGAATTTGGCACACTGCTTAATTTTTCTGATAATGAATGCACAGATAGCCTCACTTAGCAAGTAATACCAATACCAAGAACAGATGCAAACTATTGATATTAAATTCTTTCATGTAAATAATCAAATTAACTTTCATAATTCCAGAAACTAGTAAACAGAATCTCAAGGTGACATCAGACACAGACCTCAAGAAACAGAACAAAGAGAAAGAGAAGATGTCTGTGTCATCGTCGTCGGTCACCAAGGAAGTGAACAACAACATGATGTCACAACGCAAGCCGGCGTCTGGACCCGGGATTGACCTCAGCACCATGAGGAAAGAGGTCCAAGCTAACACCAAAGAGGTTAGTAAGCACTGCAGGCAATCTTTTGTCTTGCAGTTATTGATTTTATTCCCAGATGTAGTGTAAGAGCACAAGGTTGATAATGAACTTATGGGTGGTTTTTTCTGAGCTTGCAAAGCTGGGATGCGATCTGAATTTAAAAAGATAATATAATGAGAATGAAGAAAATCTTTTTATTTGAATTTCTCTGGGCATTTTTTTCCTCCCTAGAATTTAAGACAAAAATGAGTAAGAATTGATTTTTTTGTTTGTACAGGTCAAAGACAAAGATGGTACAGAAGAAAAGAATATGAAATTCTGTCGTGTGATCCTTCCCGATGGATCCACCACTGTGGTGTGCACCAAGCCAGGCCAGAACATCCGTACTGTGCTGGGACGCCTTTGTGAGAAAAGGAGTCTTTCCATCGCAGCTGTTGATGTCTTCCAGCTGGGTTCAGACAAGGTATGAGCTTGATTTACTTTTGAAGTTAATTATTTTAAGCGATATATAAAGTGATTTTAGTGAAAAAAACACTGAGTTTTGATTTGTTTTCTATTTTAATATTTTATTACAATATGTGAACGATCCAGATGAAAATTGTTATAATTGGATTTCAGCCTCTGGATTTGGGCGAGGACATTTCCACACTGGGATCAAAGGAGGTCATGATCGAAAGGCGTGTATTATTCCGCATGGATCTTCCCCACAGGAAGTCAATCGGAGTTAAGGCCAAGCCCAACCGCACAGTCCGTGATGTGTTCAAACCAATTCTCAACAAATATGGCTTTAAGCTGGATAATATAACTGTTCAGCTGGTAGGTTAATAAGAATGAAGATTGTAAAGAGAAAGAGCAAACAGATTGAACTTGGTACACACCACATTGGATGTAAAGAAAAGTGAGAGAGAAAGAAAAATTCCGCAAATAAAAATCTGATAAAAGAACAAAGGGGTGGGATACCATTTTGGCAGATTTTTGAAGATCAAATCTGACCATTTATAAAAAATATATCCCAGACACTTGTAAATAGTCAACTGTACATACATTTGTAAACTCCAGCCATTTATGTGTACAGTCTGTAGAAAATTATGATTCACAAGTAGAGATTTTCCTTGTAACATCACATTGGGACAATGGACATGTTACAAAAGGAAATCCTGCACAGAATGATCAGAGCTCCCCCTCAAGTCAACAGTCCAATTAATATCAGGCTAAGGTATTCCAGAGTTTCCCACATTTGAATTTAAGAATCCACGAGTTTTTCTACTCTCTCAAATTTAAATATCTTTAAAATTTCTCAAAATTAATTTTCAGACTTCAAGACAAATTCTTAGATTTCACATTTTGTGTATAATGAGGAATTACTAATGGTGTGTTTGTTTGTTTTTTTTTCAGTCGGGACAGACCGGATATGTTGACATAGATGAACAAGTCTCCACCATTGATAACCAACGTGTTGTGATCTCAACCATCGAAAACTCTGGATCTCAAGGTAAATACAATCTCCGGACTTCTTATCATGCATCAGTTTGTCATGCCATGTTTAGCATAGTTCATTTTGTTCATGTAATCGTTGTCAAATGTATCAAATTGTCACTCCATTCATCGTACCTGCATATAAAGCAACTAACATCATGAAAGAGCATGTAAAATCCAACAAAATTTCATATCAAATCCAACAAAATATAATTAAGATGAGGACTGTTTTTGAGTCATCAGGATCATATTTCCCATTATACCCATTAAGATTTTCATTTTTCCATCATTCATAAATGATATTGCAAGAAGTAAAAGATTCTCAGATGTTATCATCAACGTAAGGGAGAGAACTCCTAAAAAATTTTTGGCATTCAGTTGGCACTGGCTAGAAAGATGTGGGGTACAATTTTAAAAGGCAGTTGGTGGAGGGAGCTTATACCTGCATGTTATTCAAGCACTTTTAATAACCACAATAAACCAGACACACTTTGTTTCCTCATTCTAACAAAAGGATTTTTAATACAGATAATACTAGTAGTGTTTCACATGCTTGAAAGAGATTAAAAAAAAATGTGATGGGACATCCAAGGTAATTGACTGGTTTATTGTGGAAGAATTTGTCCTGGTATTTTGTTTATCAGGAAGCACGCTAATTGGAACAGGGAAGAAATGGGAAAGGGTGCCAGGGAAATATTTTGGTTTGTTTTACCTTTGTGTTCCAATTGAGTGCCTCAGCTTGTACACGATATATATTTGCACTTTTTCACTCGAATCAAATTGAGAGATTAAGTATTATGATGTTTGTGAAAAGTAATAGATGATGCAAATTTGGACATGATTTTTTTTTCACATTAATATTTCACAGTTTACACATTTATCATTGATATCAAGAGTGTAATTAACAATTTCAGTTGGCACAGCTTGTGAAAGAATACCTAAATCTTTATTTGGTATTACCCATTTGTTAATTTATATAAACTCTTTCACCTAAATTTAATTTGAAATTTACATAGATCATAATGTTCATACTAATTTAAAGTTGCACAAATTTATCATATGTATATGTCACATATATTTTTATTATCATACAAACCATTAAAGCAACTGACAATTTATCACGGCACAGTTCGCGTCAAGATAAAATAAGAACACCTTTTTAACATAATAAAAAGATGTTGAAGAGAACACTCATAATCTAAAACTGATATTACTCATTTAGTTAATTTACAGATAGTTAACAGTGTTGTATTGAATCTGTTGTCTGAAAACAAAGATATACAAAATGGACTCTTATTGTTTAAGGTTCATAATTCCTTTGTTCAACTCATTTTAAAATTTTACTTTAAAATGATAATGATTCTACAAAAGAAATCTAAATTATAACTGAAATTCACACAATTTCAGTACACCTTGCTGTGCAAAATTTGAAGAATTTGCCTTTCAACTTCACAATTTTTTAAGGGAATAGTAGTCATTAATCCAGTGAGAGTTATCTCCCTTATCAGAGGGTTAATGAACCCTAAAAGAAGTTCTGTTTTTCAGACAACACATCTCAATCTAACATGAAGAGGAATACCACTAATAAACTAATCTATTCACCTTTTTGCATGCATTCATTTTGCTAACAGCTAGTACTAGTGATGGCTCCACATCTAGTGTCTCGCCAATGGCCGTAAAATATCCCCCCGATTTCCACATCGACCCCCAGAGCTGCTCGATCTCTCTCGATGCAATCACCAATCGTATCTTTGAGGATTTATTGAAAGGCAAATCCAAGAAGGCTCATAATTTTGACGAACTTGGAATTTTAGATTTGGATTCGCGGGAGAAGGTAACTAGACAAGCTTTAGAGTCGTGCAGTGACACAGATGTTGATGAAGTTTATAGCTTGTCTGACTAGACATACACTAACACCTTTATTTTTTGTGTAGACCTTTTTTTTTATCGAGTGTGTGCATTTAGCAATTGCCTTGTTTTGTCGTGCATTATGCAATTTAACATTGTGCCTGATTTGGATATTGATGGATATAATGCATTAAACTTTGAGAGAAATTTTACTGGGCCATGGACAGGAATATGCCTTAGTTGTGAATCTTTAGGCTAAACCTGTGATCTGAAATATCTTCATTTTCAAAATGTGCAAATAACAAAATAAAAATTATGAAGAGCCATTTCAAGTCCTTGTGGTCAGTTTTCTTTCGGTGATGGGAACTGTGAATAGAACCTGTCGGTGCACGGAAATGATGGGCTGGACTTCATGTTAAACATGTAAGTCGTGGTTTTTGTAACATGACCTGATACATGTATCTGTACCCTGTCACTTACTAGCTTCAACCTCAATCTTAAAAATCTCACTGAAATCTTGAAGTTTAAGAACTCTCCGGAAGCATGCAGGAAAAAGACTACTCAAACACTACAGTACTTCAAATGGCTAGTGTTGTCATGCATTCAAATTCAGATCCAAGTCTCAAAGTTTAATGCAATGTTTTCCAAACACGAATGACCTTGAATGTGCTCACATTTCCTTTTGAATATTAAACATGCTTTTTATGTGTGAAAAGATGATCTAGTGTGGCATAGAGTAAGTATATAAAGCTTTTTGTGTGCAGTGTCTGTATATAGATAGACGTCGTAATGTTATTAAATGTAGCCACACTCTAACACCTGTGTTTGCAATATATAGCTTCAGATTTAATCAACTTTGTGTATAGCAACACTGATATGTAAAACAAAAAAATACAAAAGCTTTTTAACTTGTAAATTGTAATCTCAATCTTATGCTTATTTTTCTTTTAATATGCAAATTTCTGTGCAGTGCATAGTTTAAGAGTTTTCTTAATGACTCTTTACTTTCACTTGTGGATATTTTAAGTAATTTTCTTTTTTTTCTTCTCAATTTTTTTTTTACTTTCTTTTTTAAATGTCTTATGATTTAAATTATACTTGCTTTATATATGAGAGATTGCAATACATTCAATTTTGAATATTTATAAAATGTTTGGAGATATTTTACATTAAGATTCAGAGCAAAGCTGATAATGTTCAACTAAGTGTAAAAATTTGACAAAGGAAAGTAGTGACAGCAGTTTGTTTCATATTAAAGTGGTACATATATTAAAACAGTTTTATTTGAAGCAGATTTGATTATGATTTAACCATTTTGTTTTTTTTTTAACAGGAAGCCTTGAAAGGAACAGCAGAAGATCGTCCATCTTTGGGTTTGTTTGGTCTGCTGAGAAAAGACTCAGCATACGGAAAACAGGCGTCGGAGCTAGCAAAGACGAAGACCCGCCACAAAGTTACATTTAACCTGCAGAAAAATCAAACACGCAAGTCCTCCAGGGACCCAGATGGTAAGTTAAAAACAGAATGTTTAGGTACAGACCTATTTTTATCAATGCTATGTTAAAAAAAAAACAAAAACAAAAAACAGAAAATTCTTGGATTCTGTGAAATAATTGTTTTCTTCACTTCCTTTCTTTTCCCAGAGGAGAGATTCCTTGAACTGTTAACTAAAGCACAGAGCAGTCGTATGGATGATCAACGGGGACTAGGAACATCAGCTTCAGAAATTCCAGAGTTTTTACGGAACAAAGTGGAATATCCCTCTGGGAGGGAGAGTGCTCCTCCGATTCTGAAACATGATAAATCTCATCGGAAGGGAATAGTGGGAACTCCTGAAGACTATGTGCAAAACGAAAATGAATATTTTACGTCGTACACGCGCGGTCAAGTCTCTATGAGACCCTCATCTGTTCCAGCAGATTCATTTCAAGATCATTCATCCTCACAAGGAGTTATGGACTCTAATGATGACAGTTATATAGTTAATCAGGATCAGAGCTTTAGTGCTGATGGTGTGCTACCGTCATCGAGTGAAGCAGAGGTCTATTTTCAGACCACGGATCCCGACAGTGCTGACTTTGATGATCCGCGATTGGCCGAGAAAGGCTTACGTGACCTCGGCTTTGATTACAGTTATAACATGTATCAGGCTAAGGCTTGGGGCTATTCTCGCCATCGACCCACCGGGCTCTCACCTACAAGACAAAAGAAACTGACCCCCAGTAAACAATTAGTGACACCCACAGAGAGATTCTCGTTAGACGAGGCTGCTCTTCTGGACAGTAGTCGAGATACGGACAAAACGTTAGTAGGTTCACAATTGGAGGAAAGACCAAACTCTTTACCCGCAGCCATGGATCGCATCTCACCCAGAGCCTCCTACTCACCCGCTGTGTCTCCATTTGGGGGATACGCAAGGAAATCTGTTGGTGAAAACACAGTTAATCATTCAACTCCAAAGGCAGAGTCCATGACATCCCGATACTCTAATCATAAATCGGCATTCCATGCCCCAGCTGTTCATATGGGTTCACCAATCACAGGGAATACGTCTTTTAGTGGAGATATGAATGAGTCTCAAAAAGCCATGATTATAGACTTGGGGAGCTCTGATGAAAATGTAACTTTTGTGTAGAGTCTTTAGATTTGTAAGGTTTTATTTCTATTTCAGGTACTTTCTTTTTTTGAGTTAGTGCTATCAGTTTTCATTGTGCTATCGCTTTTGAAGTACATAGTATTTTTTTTTACTGACTTTGTTTTAAACTGTACAGAATATCCTAAAGCAAATCATAGATCTTCAAGTTTTTAAAGTCATTCTTCATTAGCTTATTGCATTTAAAATGTGATACATGTAATAAGAAAAAAACTAGCTTTAAATTGGAATATTGAGGATGAATATCGTGCAAAAGATAAAAATGTGTGAATATGTAATATACAAGTCAACTGCCACTCTGTGTGTATATGTATTATGGTGCTAATTTGTGTAGTAATTCTGTTTGTGTGTAAATAGTTTTGGAACCTCAGAGTGTAAGTGGTGTGTATATTGTCTTTTTCATGTAACAGCAAATGAAAGAAATATTTCTATATTAAATGACCCAAAAATTAATAAAAAAAAAACTTGAGCCATATAAAAGTATATTGTGTTGTGATACCTATAGCATACTAAGTCTGTGCCAAAAATATAAGGAAGACAATCAACTTTCCAGGTTTTAAATTGTGCATCCATTAATAGGGATGTCAGTTTTATGCACAATTAAGATCTCTTAAGCAGTAATTTTTTTTCTCTGGACAAGTAAGAATATCGGTCAATCTGCAAAGATTCTATGGGGGCAGCAACCTCCAAGGACTCATTCAGTGGAACAAGTAATTACACAAGCTTGACAGTCATCAGAAAGAAGTACAGTAAAACATGGATATAGCATACATAATTATAATGAATTCATTCTTACAGCAAAGTGTTTCATTTCCCATGGTTTTAAAAAATACTGTGAACTTAACATATAAAGTGAATCAAGTTTCTAATGAATAAAATTTTTTGCATCCTTGATACTTTCCCTATATAGGGTGTTTTACTTTAGTAATTTCTACATGTATACCCTTAACTTATGTAGGTATATTTAACTTTTGCTGATGATAATGAATTAACATTAGAGACAGTGTCAAAGGCATTATAAAATAAGAATCCTGATTGGTAAGTACATGTACTTGAATTTCAAACTACAGATATACACTTTAATTACATTAATGACCCCATGGAAATAATACGTTAACAGTACTTTGAAAAAAAGTTTAGTACCAATTGCAGTTCGACTTGAATAACTGCTAAAGATTTCCTCATAAAAATCATAAAACACCAGACTGAATTGTTTTGCTTTCCAAATGACGACTAATTAAGAAATTAGGAGCACTTGAAGAAGGCAGGTCTTGGTAATTATTTGTCATAAACGATCATGAACACAGTCACACACATCAATTTATCAATATGGTCTTTGAATAAATTTATACACCCTTGTTCCAAATTTGATTACTTTTTGAGGTAGTGGATTGAGTGTAACATTAATGTCTGATTATAGACCTAAAGCTTTAGGTCTATAGTCTGATGGTTTAGAAATTTTTGAATGATTGGAATGCAGTAAATAATTTAACAGGCATTATTAGCCATGGATATACCAGTACCCTCGATTTTAAAAGCAAAAGAACTTTTTAACAAATTTCTTGTCTTGAGTAACGAGCAAATGATTTTACCAAAGAGGTCAAGCTACACCATGAAAGTGAAGTGTGGAATCATTTTAATTCATGGCGGGGTCAATGTTCATGGGCAGGCAAAATTTTACTTGTTCCTGGGGACATAATTTCAAGGGTTACTCGTTTATATGGTAGATTTAATGAACCAATATGTTTACAAAAATAAACGTTTGTTGGGATGTAAATTCCGTGGGTAAGGGTGACCCATGAACATTGGTCCCTCACAAACAATGATGATTCCACAGTGTGCAAATTTGTTTCCTCTTTCATACATGTATATATAAAATTAAAACCTCATATGCTGAAAAGATTTTATTGCAATTCACTGAAAGACTCTCATGCAGACACAAGAAAAAATTTATGCCCAAATTAAATGCACAATGCATCCAACACATTTTCTTTTCTCTTTTTTTTTTTTGGAAAATAATATAATATCACATGCAGAGCAATACATCATTTAAACATTATACTGTAAAATCACATATTTTCGTGGAGTCAAATTTTCAAGGTTTGAGAAAGAAATATAGGTTTGTGGGGTTTTGATTTTGTGGATGGACAAGTGTTGAGTAGTAATGCATATGGAATTTTACATTTCGAGGTGGTCATGAATTCGTGGGTCTCTCCATACCTTGAAAACAACGAAAATTAACCCCCCACGGAAATTAGTGATTTCACAGTAACTAGCTAAGAGATGACAGGTCAGAGACAAATTGATTAATAGTCTAGGTAGAATTGTAAAAATACACTCAACCATGGAAAAGGTTTACAGAGCAGCAAAGTAAAAACTTACTCCAATTGTCATTTCATTCAAGGAATACATAGTTTATTGAGTAATGAAGAAGGAAATCTTGGTGATAAACGGGAATCATAAAAAATACATACATTCTCGTTTCAAGATGAGCGTAAAAAAAAATATGGCATCCAATTTTCAACACATTTTGAATTCACATCTTTCAACAACTGAAAGACAAATCAATATACGTTTTAAGATATCTGCAAATGGTTCACATTGCTCAGTGCAATCTACATAAACATTTTCTATACATTGTATGCATGAACAGGCATGGATCCAGGAATTTTTTCCCGGGGGGGGGGGGGGGGGGGGAGGGGTTTCCACCTAAGTCAAAGAAAAATTCCAACCCAAAAATTTCTTTCCCAAACGTGAAAACAACTATTTCATCTTGGTGGTGGTGGGGTCCATGTTTTCTAGGGTCCAAGGTCACTTTTTTTATTTGCCTCAGTATATACTTTAAATAACTCTGCGAATTCCAGGGGGGTGGGGGGTCCAGACACACACCCCCTCTAGATGTGCACATGATGCAACTATTATTATGCATCTAATCTAATAAATCATCTGTGAAAGCTTTTTGGTTAAATTTAGCTGGGGACTGTTAATGACAATCTATAGTTGTGGTGAGTTTATGAAAAAATTCACTGGGCACCATGAGAACTGGACATAAACACTTTAAGTTTCCAATGCTACAAAAAGATCTAACTTGAAATAAAAATACAACTAAAACTCCATAGAAATGCCTTAAGTATATTAATATTTTTTTTCATTCTTCACATTAATTCTAGGAATGATCGGAATGTTTTTTTGTTTCTCTCGCTAAAAATTTAAAGCATAAAAATGATTAATATATCAATATTTCAAAATCTGATACATTTTCCCTTGTAACAGCATTTTGTTCATATACAGTAACAATTATTACCTGAACTCCATATAAAAGCAATTTAACAAAATTAATCATCATTTATTAAATAATACCGTGATATAAAGTATAAAGAAATTCACAAGACATTCATAATACATGTGTTGTAAAAAATTCCTTACAATCATACAAAGTTTATCCGACATAATTATATATTTCTGTCTCTATCTCACAAAAATTCAAACCGCTTGTGCCGAGATCAAATCGTGAACTCAATACAATATTCTGGATATGCCTGGGTGTCATTAAAGATGACGAATTCTGTTGGGTTGTTTAAGTCATTGACGGCACAATCGTAATTCACTCCTACCATTCTCTCTGGTAGGTATCTCATGCCTTTTTGTCCCCTACAATAATGACCTGTTATCACTTTTGCCTGATACATCTTTTTTTTACCCGAAGGATCTTTACCCGATAACCAGTCTCTTGCCGAGTATGAGGCGTCGCTGGCAAAATAAACGCCCTGTCCATACCATGGCTCTCCAGCTGAAAAAGAAATTGTTCATTTAATACAAGAATTTAGCTCAAATCCAGTTAAATTAGAAGGGTTAAAAACAGATATTTGGTGATATTATTCATATTATTTGTGACAACTTTATTCACAAATTGTCAGACTGATATACATCTTTACTATTAATTTTTGTAAATTAGGAAACATTATTCATAAATATACAATTAAATAATTGGTTTACTATGAAAAATATTTGGGAGTAAAAATAAGGTTGCGAAACTCACAGATATTTCTGTCACATGAATAAAACCAGAAATATGTCCACAGGACTTAAAAATTTGTATTAGTGTATGAAGTTTGATGAAAATATCTTAAATAGTTTCTTTAAAACCAAGTTTTATATACAATAAATAGCAAGTCAAAGGTCATTGGGAAGGTCATGGTAAAAAAAAACTTGGACAGGGTTGATAAATTCTCACCAAATTATGTTTCAGTGCATAAGCTCACATTAAAGTATCTTAAATAACTTCTTAGAAACTAAGCTAAATGCAAATTTAAGAAAAGTGAGGTCAAAGGGAAGGTCAAGGTAAAAAAAAAAAGGCCCATGGGCCACATCGCTCACCTGAGCACATTGGCTAGGAAAAGCACAAATCACTTCAGTATTGAAAAGTTTAAAGGGGGGAGGGGGGGCTTGGATTTTGAACTACCTGAGGATGCTTCCATATTAATATAACAAATGGCTTTGCTGTTTTTGAGCAGAAGATTTTTAAAGATTTTTTTCCTATATATTCCCTTGTTAAAAATTTGATCCCCCATTGTGAACCCTCCCTACCCCCCCCCCCCCCCCCCCCCCCATCATTTGAACAAACTTGAATCTACACTACCTAAGGATGCTTCCATATCAATATGACTAAACATGGCTTTTCTGTTGTTGAAAAGATTTTTTCCTATAAATTTGATCCCACATTGTGGCCCCACCCTACCCCTTGGGGTTATGATTTGAACAAACTTGAATCTACACTACCTGAAGATATCTATGCTTCCATATCAATATGACAAAACATGGCTTTGCTGTTCCTGAGAAGAAGATTTTTCAAGTTCATGATTTGAAAAACTTGAATCTACACTACCTGAGGATGCTTCCATATCAATATGACAAAACATGACTTTGCTGTTCTTGAGAAGAAGATTTTTAAAGTTTTTTCCTATATATTCCTATGTAAAACTTTGATCCCCCATTGAGGCCTCACCCTAACCCTGGGGGTCATGATTCGAACAAAGTTAAATCTACATTATCTGAGAATGCTTCCATATCAACATGACTTAACAAGACTTTGCTGTTCTTGAGAAAAAGATTTTTCAAGTTTTTTTTCTGTATATTCCTATGTAAAACTTTGATCGCCCATTGTGGCCCCAGCCTACCCCCAGGGGTCATGATTTGATACAAACTTGAATCTGCACTACCTGAGGATGAATCCACATCAGTATGACTAATTGTGACTTTGTTGTTCTTGAGAAGAAGATTTTTCAAGATTTTTTGCTATATATTTCTATGTAAAACTTTGATTCCCCATTGTGGCCCCACCCTACCCCTGGGGGTCATGATTTGTACAAACTTGAATCTACACTACCTGAGGATGATTCCATATCAATATGACTAATTGTGGCTTTGTCGTTCTTGAGAAGAAGATTTTTAAAGATTTTTTTCTATATATTCCTATGTAAAACTTTGATCCCCTATTGTGGCCCCATCCTATCCCTGGGGGTCATGATTTGAACAAACTTGAATCTACACTACCTGAGGATGATTCCATATCAATATGACTAATCGTGGCTTAGTTGTTCTTGAGGAGAAGATTTTTAAAGATTTATTCCAGAACTTTATATTCCTATGTAAAACTTTGATCCCCCACTGTGGCCCCACCCTACCCCAGGGGGGTCATGATTTGTTCAAACTTGAATCTACACTATGTAATAAAGGTCTCACATAAGTTTCAACTTTTACAGCCCAGTGGTTCTTGAGAAGAAGATTTTTAAAAGATACCACCAAATTTTCACTAATTCTTAATTATCTCCCCTTGAAAGAGGGTGTGGCCCTTCATTTGAACAAACTTGAATCCCCTTTACCCAAGGATGCTTTGTGGCAAGTTCGGTTGAAAATGGTCCTGTGGTTCTTGAGAAGAAGTCGAAAATGTGAAAAGTTTACAGACGGACGGACAGCTAGACAGACGGACAACGGACAAAATGTGATCAGAAAAGCTCACTTGAGCCTTCGGCTCAGGTGAGCTAAAAAATTGATGCAGTTCAATAGCACTCACTAAAATGTATTAGCATATGAAGTTTGAAAAAAAAAATGTTACTTTAAAGCTAAGCTAAACACATTTTTTTTTTAAAAAAATGAGGTCAAGGTCAATTACAGTGATGAATTGAATAGCTTTCATTAATATGTATGAGCATATGAATTTTGATAAAAAAAATTTGAAAACTTTCTTTCAAACTTGGCTGTACAAAAATTTAAAAAAGTGGTCAAGGTCAAAGGAAAGGTCAAGGCCAAAATATGTTGCTCTCACCAATATGTATCAGCGTATGAAGTTTGATAAAAATATCCTGAATATCTTTTTTTGAAACTTAGCTAAATGCAAAGTGTGATGGAAGGACAGACGAAGGACGGAAGACATACATGACAAACACTATATGCCCCGGCCATATTCATTGTAGGACACAAATATTGCTTTACAGTGGTGGTCATGCAGTTGCCCTAGCTTTCTTGGGAACAGACATTAACAATAGCTTATTACTAAATTGTTTAAAAAATGCAACTATTTATTTCCATATTCTTCTGGTGAATTCAGTTGACATTGTTTTAAAACGATCAAATCAACATATGGTGTCGATCATACAGAGTGTGCATACATAAGACTATACATTTGTAATAAAAATATGTATCCACACTTCTTGGTGTTACAGCACTTGAAATTACGAACACATTATAACTAAACACTTCTTTTTACTGAAAATATTATTCAAAGCATTTTTTTTAAAATTATTGTTATAAAAGGACCAACAGATTGCAATGTAATAATCATCACCATTATTGCCACAGTAACTTCTGTTGAATCCGTAGTAATTAATGCTGACAATGGCTGCTGGCGCCGCTCCATGCCACAGATCCTGTACTAACTTGGTTGTTTTCTGGTCCACATGCTTTTCTATGTGATCAAGCTTGGCTGCATACTGTTGGTATAATGAAGGGTTCTGAATTCTTTCAATCTGTAAAACGAGATTAAAACATTGATAACTTTAAAAATATCCATAGCACAGAAGGATTAGACAGAATGACATGGTGTCCTGTCCCATAGCAAGTTAAAATTATTTCAGGATAAGAGGACCATTCAGCTTTATCCAACTCATTGAAATAGTTTATATTCACTTTGCAAGCCATGAGAATATACACCATTTCAACTCACTGGATAAAGCAAAATATAGAGATCCTCTATATATCACATTACCTTGTTGACTTTGACATTGTTGAACTGCCCGACTGGATTATTAAGTGGATTGGGAGCATTGCCTGTGTTGTAGATGCCTGTTTTAACTCCACTCAGGAATCTTTTCTCAATGTCCTGGTATTCTGTACTGGAGGGAAGTAATGTTACAACCTTGATATTCTCATTATCCTTCATCACGGTCCAGTGGGCTGGTAACTCAATCTTATTTCCTACATGTAAGGAAAATCATGTTTAAATCCATAAAGAAATTGTTTGGTACACTAACAGGCTCAAGGGCCATGTGTCTATTGACCAAACTTTTTAACTGTTACAAAGAACAAGTACATTCAGGGAATGTCCCCAGTTTAAGGACAGAAAAAGTGGACAGAAGACCTAATAATACAAAGAGGAATTGATCTTGACCTTTCATTTTTTTTTTTCATAAACTCAACTGGGTCTATGTTAAGTTAGAGAGTGACACTACCTTATGTTTCAATGCAAAGGCTCAAAGAGAACTGAGTTATCCTCTGGACACCATTTTATGCAATATACGAATTTATGACCTTGACTTTTGACTTCAAAATCAGCAAGAGCCTTCTTTAAGTTACTGAGAGTTATAATATAAAAGTTAAATGACTTTTAGAGATACCATTCAGAAACTTAAGTGTTACAGACATTAAAATTAACAAGAGCAGGGCCTGGGATAAAAAGATAAATCTATATCTCTAACCCGTGGCCTTTTCTTTCCTGACAACATTATCTGTTTGTGTTGGGTCATCAGCTGGGTATTCCTTCATTGTTGTCAAGTCAACAATAATATCCCCATCCACTGCCTTTAACTTGACAATGTTCTGTTTCTTCTTGTAAGCATTCTCAAGGTACATATTCTGACGTTCTGGATAATCTTCAAGTTTGTCTATACCAGTCATTTGGTCTTTTACCTACAATGGTAAGTTATCCCTTTTTTACCTTTTAAAATTTATTTTATTTATAACTTCTCTCAACTAAATTTCATGTATTTAGTTATGCACGTAGCATATAATAGACAAACGAGTATTCGGCATATTTGGAAGAATATTAAGAATCCTTATGCATGGTTATATGCATATTTAAACAAGAAGTCTGTGAGCCAGTGCTCACTAATACCGGTAATACCCCCGCTCTGATGTGAATACACAAGTTCAGTTATGGACAGACACAGTGATAATCAGGAAGTTGACATGGGATTTGTACAAAAATGAATCCCTACACATGGCATGCTTAAACAAAGAGTGTGCTAAAATTTCAAGCATCTGCAATGAGTAGTTGCTGAGAAAACTGCTATCCAAATTTGTTATGTATGGTACAGACAGTTGCATGGATAAACAGGAAGTTGACATCGGATTCATACAGAAATGAATCCCACAATATGGCATGCCTTAACAAAGAGTGTGCTAAAATTTCAAGCATCTGGGATGAGTAGATGCTGAGAAAACTGCGACCAAAATTTGTTATGTATGGTACGGACAGATGCACGGATAAGCAAGAAGTTGACATCAGATTTGTACAACAAGAGGCCCATGGGCCACATCGCTCACCTGAGTAACTTTGGCCATGCTGTTCTTTACCGGATCCCCCCCCCCTTGTAATACCTATTGTGGCCCCGCCCTACCCCGGGGGGTCCTGTTTGAACAATTTAGAATCTATACTACCCAAGGATACTTCCACATAAGTTTCAGTTTTTCTGGCCCAGTGGTTCTTGAGAAGAAGATTTTTAAAGATTTTTCCTATATAATTCAATGTAAAACTTGGATTCCCTATTGTGGCCCCGCCCTACCCCCAGGGGTCATGATTTTAACAATTTAGAATCTACACTACCCAAAGATGCTTCCACATATGTTTCAGTTTTCTGGCCCAGTGGATTTTGGGAAGAAGATTTTTAAAGATTTTTCCTATATATTTCAATGTAAAACTTGGATTCCCTATTGTGGCCCCGCCCTACCCCCGGGGGTCATGATTTTAACAACTTAGAATCTACACTACCCAAGGATGCTTCCACATAAGTTTCAGCTTTTGTGGCCCAGTGGTTCTTGAGAAGAAGATTTTTAAAGATTTTTCCTATATATTTCAATGTAAAACTTGGATTCCCTATTGTGGCCCCGCCCTATCCCCGGGGGTCATGATTTTAACAATTTAGAATCTACACTACCCCAGGATGCTTCCACATAAGTTTCAGCTTTTCTGGCCCAGTGGTTCTTGAGAAGAAGATTTTTTAATGATCCCACCCTATTTCTGTCTTTTCTTGATTATCTCCCCTTGTAAGGGGACTTGGCCCTTTATTTTAACAATTTAAACTCCCCTTCACCCAGGGATACTTTGTACCAAGTTTGGTTAAAATTGGCCCAGTGGTTCTTGAGAAGAAGTTGAAAATGTGAAAAGTTTACAGACGGACGGACAGACGGACGGACGGACGACGGACCACGGGTGATCAGAAAAGCTCACTTGAGCTTTCAGCTCAGGTGAGCTAAAAATGAATCTCAACATATGGCATGCCTAGAGAAAGTGTGTGCTAAAATTTCAAGCATCTGCAATGAGTAGTTGCTGAGAAAACTGCTACCAAAATTTGTATGGACAGACACACACACAGCTAGACAGACACACAAGGGTAAAACAGCATACCCCCTCTCCTTCGGATTGGGGGTAGAAAAAAGGTAGCTTAGTGTGAAGTATTAAGAAACCGAGGTCTTTAAGTGCTCAGAAAATGGATCCCATGAAATAAGGGGGAAAAATATATCAACAAGATGTGTTTGTGAAACACTGATGCCCCTGTATGGCAACTTAAAGCAAAAGTTAAACTTTCTCTAATGCAAATCAAATATGTTGATACTCAAAGTAAGGTCTTGTCTCGAGGAATAAACCTGTGAAATATGAAAGCCCTAGCAGCAACTATTGAATAGATATAGAAAAGGTTAAAGTTTATTCAAAAGTAAGTCAAACATCAAAGTCAAGGTCAAATGGTCAAAGTTAATGGTGCCAAAGGAAAGGCCTTCTCCAAAGAAATACACAGGTGAAATATGAAACCCGAAATACCAAATGTTCAAAAGTTATGGCCAAGGTTAAAGTTTTCCAAAAGTAGGTCAAACTCCTAGGTCAAGGTCAAAGGGTCAAAGTTGTTGGTATCCAAAGGAAGGTCTTGTCACAAGGATTACAGGATTGAGTGATGTATGAAAGTGATATATGAAAGCCCTAGCACCAATTGTTCAAAAGTTATGGCCAAGGTTAAAGTTGGGTAAAATTTTGCAAAACTGGGTCAAACTCCAAGGTCAAGGTCAAATATGGTGGTTTCCACATAAAGGTCTCGTCACAAGGAATACACATGTGAAATAGGAAAGCAATAGCTTCAACCAATCAAAAGTTATGAGTAAGGTTAAAGTTTTTGCAGACAAACAAGGCAAAAACTATATACCCTCAAATCTTTGATACGGGGGCATAAAAATTGGTGTTACTGCAACTTTCACTCAAGGATGCTTCACAAGAAATGAGCAAAATAATTCTCCAACACATACAAATTTGGATGGACAAGAAAACATGCATAAACTATCAGATCACTTTGCAGAGCCAACAAAGAACATAGCTAGCCCTCACTATACCTACCATGACGCTCCATTGCACTGTATCAGCCACCAGTTTGGCTTCCTCATCCAACCATCGCTCTTTCTGGAAGTGTCTCAGCAGCTCATGTATTTTGTCTTTGGCATTAGCTACCTCCTCTGTCAGACCCTCTATCATTATAACTCCTCTCTGTTGTTCAATGGACATCTTGACATCATGCTGATCCGACACTTTTTTAATCTTGTCCAACTACACAATAAATAGGTACCCGGTAGGTTTAAATACATGAAAATATACATTGCTGGAATCTTGGTTTATGATCTCAAACATGTTTTCAACAGATTTTGCTCACAGAAAAGTATTTGCCCCCACATCTTGTAGAAGGCACTGAAAAAAAAAATTACCTCATTTGGTTTCAAGTTTGGAAGTAATGTTACATCCTCAATTTTAGCTTTTGTTGACTGTGATTTGATGAATTTTGATATTTCCTCAATTGTATCATCTCTGGCTCCCTTTGTTTCTCCATAGATCCATAAAGTCACAGATTGGTCTTCAACAACAACAGTTGATGAAGCCAAACCTCTCTGTGGAGCCAATCCAACATTGCTTGCCAAGTCTACAAGAAGTTGTTAATAAGTTTAGGTCCTTAGTGTGAAGAAACGAGAGAAAATGCACAAAACCAAACTCTATATACAGTCAAACCTTGTTATCTCAAACTAGATGGGAGCGAGAAAAAACTTCGTGATACTGAGGGTAAAATACTTAAAGAATATTAAGTGGTTGGAACTTCCAAATCACTTTGACATATCCACGGTATTCAAGATATCAGTGTTCGATATACTGATGTTCAACTGAACATGTATTTAAATGACACTTAGGAAAGACTTTAAGCAGGATTGAATATTGTTTATTAAGCAAGATAGAATATTGTAAACTAAAATTTTGTTTTTTGCTCTTTGTGAGAGATGAACACAAACCTGACAGCTTGTCCAACATCCCTGTACTCTTGGATTTCCCACATGCATCCCTCATTGCAGTGGACATGGGAGTGACCATCTCCTCCTGGAATGCTACAATCTTGACCATTGTGATCTTACTCTGACCATTCTGTGACAAGAATTCAGAAACACTATCCACAAACATCTCTCCAATAGCTTCTGGTTTGAAGGTCACAAATCCTTTTCCTGATAAATTAAAAAGAAAAATAATGTTTTCAAATTACTTGCATACATACAACTTTAAATTGATTAAATTGATAAATTGCAGTGTCTTTTTTTTTCTTTTCTCTAATTAAGTTTGAACTTTAAACTGAAATTTAAAAATATATAGTAAGGAGATGTGTCAAACATAATGTTGTGACTTCAAATGATTCAGACTGTTTTTAATAGATATGTTTGAAAATAACTTGAAAAGTGTCCAGTCAACAGGCTCTATTCTATAGGTAACAACAAACAAATTACCTGTTCCCAGAACTGGAAAGGCTATAGTTGTACACTGTGAGTTGTCGGCCATTTGCAGTGTTCTATTCACCACATCTTTCCATTTCTTGATGGTATCCTGACATTCGATGTGGATGATGTGTTTAATATTACCAAGTCCACAACCAGAGGTCACAATCATCTTCTTGTCCTTCATTTCTTTCTCTACATGACATCAGTATTTCTTGAGAATAGTGTCAGGTATCAAAATAGTTCAAGAAAAAGGCTTTTACATTAACTTTGCATGGAATTTTAAGTTCCTTAAATACATAGGTAATCAAAGATTATTAATCTCACCTCAACAAATGTTATCTTTAAGTAAGGCAAATTTCACATCATATTCTTATTTTAGTTAGTGTACATCCCAATTAAAATATGGCTAAAATTCACTCATGTGGAAAATCTAGGTCGAATCCAGCATCCGAAGCATGTTGGTTAACGTACATCCCAAGTTGCATCATCCATGCAAGTTTGGTCAAGGTAGGGCTTATAGTAACTTGGGAATGGACCTGCTCCAAAAGCTTTAATCTGGTCACTCATCTGGAATATCTAGGTCAGATCCAGCAACCAAAGCAAGTGTGGTAGTGTCCATCCCTAGATGCATCATCCATGCAAGTTTGTTAAAGGTAGAGCTAATAGTTACTTGGGAATGGACCTGCTCCAAATACTTTAACCTGGTCACTCATCTGGAAAAAAATGTAGGTCAGATCCAGCATCCGAAGCAAGTGTGGTAGTGTCAATCCTTAGATGCATCATCCATGCAAGTTTGGTCAAGGTAGGGCTAATAGTTACTTGGGAATGGACTTGCTCCTAAAACTTTAACCGGGGCGCCGACGCCAATGCGGGGGTATAGCATAAGCTCATCTCAACTTCGTAGAGGTGAGCTAAAAATATTTCAACTTTTTCAAAAATTTTTTTTCAACTGTACTTAGAAATCAAAGAGGAAAAATATCCGGGAGTTCATTATGGATGCTTTAGAATTACCAATTGACCTTTTACGGTCTTCCAGTGCTCAAATATAGGAACTGAACCCTGGGACCTATCATTATGTACTATTCAGATTCATCACAGGTTAAGTAGCCATGTCCTCTACCTGCAGTAAAGGCAATGTAAACTTAATACGATTCCAAACACTGCAAAACACTTACTCTTAGCAGCACACTCTGTCTCCAGCTGTTTTCCACATTTCTTGACAAGTGCAGCAGAAACTCCCCCTAAAAATAAATAAGCTATGAACATGTAACTCGAAATCTTTCAACAATGAGAAGAGAACATTTCCACATCCAATTATAAAAATGAAAGGGATGGCTTTGTCTACAAAAACAAGAGGCCCAAGGGCCTTGAATCGCTCTTCTGATAAACTGTATAACCTATCACTTCTATTTGAAGCCTCTAAATATCCTGTATATTTAGATAAACCCTTGAAATTCCAATTCACACTCTGAGAACCCAAGATGATTCTAAGCCAATTAGTACCTGAGAGTTGGTCATGGTGACCTACTTATCACTTGTCATTCTCTGAGGACCCATCAACTAAGTTTGATGATTCTAAGCCAATTAATACCTAAAATATTTTTTAAAATTATAACCATAAAATTTTATAAGTAGGTCAAAGTGACCTACTTTTCAGTTGTTGTACACCAAGGACCTAAGATACATCAACTGACAAAGTTGGATGATTCTATGCCAATTAGTACCTGAAATATTTAATTAAAGCCGTAAATTTTCAAAAGTAGGTCACAATGACCTACTTTTCAGTCAACCTACTCTGAGGACCCATGATGCATCAACTGACAAATTTTGACGATTCTAAGCCAAATAGTACCCGAAAATATTAAATACAGCCATAAAATTTTAAAAGTAGGTCATGATGACCTACTTCACTTGTCCTACTCCAAGTACCCAAGATGCATCAACTGACAAAGTTTGATGATTCTAAGCCAACTAGTACCCAAAATATTTAATTAAAAGACATGTATTTTCAAAAGTAGGTCACGGTGACCTACTTTTTAGTCGACCTACTCTGAAGACTCAAGATGCATCAACTGACAAAGTTTGATGATTCTAAGCCAATTAGTTCCTGAAATATTAAATACAGCCATATATTTTCAAAAGTAGGTCACGATGACCTACTTTTCAGTCGACCTACTCCGAAGACCCAAGATACATCAATTGACAAAGTTTGATGATTCTAAGCCAATTAGTACCTGAAATATTTAATTATAGTCATATTAATTGAAAAGTAGGTCATGGTGACCTACTTTTCAGTTGACCTTTTTTGAGGACCCAAGATGCATCAACTTACAAAGTTTTATGATCATAGGCCTTAAGGTGTCCAAATTATGCCTCTAAAATGCTTTGAAATCGAATGCCTGCAAAGTTCAAAAAGTAGGTCACTGTGACCTACTTTTTAATAAATATGTTTTATGGCCCCAAGATGCATCATCTTCCAAGATTTAATGATTCTAAACCTCTGGGTATCCAAATTAATGACCTTAATTGTTTTGAAAAAGATTAGCCATAAAGTTCAAAAAGTAGGTCAAGGTGACCTACTTTTTAATTGACGTACTTCGAGGACCCAAGATATATCAACTGACAAAGTTTGATGATCATATGCCTTAAATTGTTCAAAATATGCCTCTAAATCATTCTGAAAAAGAATGGCCGCAAAATTTAAATAGGTCACTGTGACCTACTTTTGAGTCAACATGATATGAGGTCCTTAGATGCATCAACTGACGAGATTTGATGATCCTAGTCCTTATAGTAAGCAAAATATCAACATTTTAATAAAATGGAATTTTTGGTCAACTTTGAAGTGACCTTGAGACCACGCCCTTTGCCCCAGGGTAAATCCCCGTGCAAATTTTAATCTACAACATATCCTCATCCTTTTGTGTAAGTTTGGTGATAATCTGCCCAGTGGGTTCTTGAGAAGAAGATTTTTTAGCAACCAGTACTTTTGTTTCTATTTTCCTAATTATCTCCCCTTGTTTAAGGGTCACAACCCTAGTTTTAGTATAAAAGGGAGCCCTTGGACAAAGGATACCCTGTGACAAATTTGACAATAATTGGCCAAGGGGTTCTTGAGTTACGGGCCATAATCTAAAAAGTTTACGCACACCGCACAAATGGCCATAGCATTAGCTCTTTGAGCCTTTGGCTCAGAAGAGCTAATAAAATGTAAACTGGTTATTACTGTACAATTTTTTTCTTAAAACTCAGCCGCATCAATATCATCTATACCAAATTCTAAAACAAATTTACAGCAGGTGAAAAACAAAAGTATTGGTGTCCAGATTTTAGAGGTGCCACTGTATATTGAGTTACACTCACGCACATGAAGTACATATAAACACATTTTATTCTCTTTAAAGGGTTGTATTTGATTGCAGTCACATTTATTTAGAACACTAATATTGTAATTACAGTAAAACTTGTCTAATCCGGCGACCAGTGGTTCCAAAATTTTTGGCCGGATTAGACAACATCCGGATTGGAGAAAATTGAACCGTTATAGCAAGTTAAAAATTACATGGATACAAACTAGGAGTGGTAAATAAATACTTGATCAAATGTGTCATTTTTTACGTTTCACTTGAAAAAATCGTCTATTTCCGTTTGTTTTCAACTCTGTTTGTTCTTCAGAATTTTCATTTCTGTTTAAGTTTTTTATTCAGTGTCGAAATATAATATTTCTTGGTCATTTATCAAATTTGAAAATCGTTAAATGTTTTAAATACACTCAAAAACCTTATTGTAGCTGTAAATATTATTTTGTTAGGAACAGATTCCTAATTAATTTCTTTCTTTTAAAATTAATATGTTTGAATATTTAGACACTGTATTTGTTAATTTCAAATGTTATACATGTAATGAATATTTAACCAAAATCTTATGTCGTTATGGTCATTGTAAACTAGCGACACAAAGGGAAGTAATTCGAATTGCACGTCGTGCACGCAAAACGAAAGTAGAAAGGAGGTCATGAATAAGTCTCTAAGTTTTTCTACAGACATGCTACACGCAACCATAAATATCACTCATTCTTTTGCGAGTTTCCTCGCCTTACTTGAGCCATTAATGATTATTTCATCACGTTTGTTAAAATCTAAACAGTCGATACAGGATAGATCATTAACGGGACAATAATTACCCCACGCGAGACTTCGGTAATGACCAGCGGGCACAGGTAAAAATAAGTGGCCGGATTAGAGGAGATAATTTGTACTAATTATGAGCAGTTAGTTCTTTAAATAGCGGCAGGTTTACAGAATAGGCAAGATCCGGACTGCACAACATTTATTAAACATAAATTATAAAGAAAATTCAAGGGACTAAAATATTACGCTGGACTGAACAACATGCCGGAATGTACAACATCCGGATTCAACAAGTTTTACTGTATAAGCTTTCCTAAAAGTATACCTTGTGTAAAGTCCAGCTCTAGGTTGGTGCTGTTGACAATGGCATCAACTTTCTGCTCTGTAAGGTCACCTGCACTTACACTGATTGTCAACTGGCCAATCACAACCTCTGTTACAAAGAAAGAAAATCAACTTCAAAATCATTCAATTATGGTGTAGTTAGAAGCCCTGTTTGTTTCTTTGGTTTTTTTTTTTTGTATTCCTCACTGCTAAATCCACTTAAATTTGGAATCTACTTGTCTCCAGTTTATACTAACTATAGATTGCACTCATAACGAAGAAGGGCATGAAATACATGTATCTTACCATTCGGTTTTTGTCCATGTCTAGCGATGACATCAGAGGTTTCTTCCTCCTCCTCACTCTTGAACATCCTGCTGGCTCTAGTCATCACACCTCTTGCAAAACTGGTGGCCCCTGCAGCCATGGAGGAACCCAAGGAGCTGAGATTTACGCTCTGCCCCAGAATGGACTGATCAAGGGAGGGTTGAGCCTGCTGGGAACAGAACTTTTTCTCCTCACTCTGGAATGCCTAAAATACAAAATACTGGATATAAAATTTTTCAATGGGTCAACAAAAGATAACTTCCTAACAAGGTATCAAACTCTTAAATAAGAAATAAACAAGAGGCCCAAGGGCCTTGAATCGCTCTTCTGATAAACTGCACAACCTATTACTTCTATTTGAAGCCTCGAAGTATTCTGTATATTTAGATAAAGCCTAGAAATTCCAAAGCTAGGTCATCATGACCTACATTTTAGATGAAACACTCTGAGAACCCAAGATGATTCTAAGCCAATTAGTACCAATTAGTGCCAATTAGTTAATACAAGCAGAATTAAATTTTGGTCTTAGTCGTAAGTTCTTTTGTAAAATGGGCCCCATATTTTTCAAAACTGCATGACTCAAAGAAAAGTAAACCTTCAATATTTTCTAAAATACATCATAACACACCCCAAGAGATTTCCGATCACTACTGATGGCAACAAAGTTCACAGTCTTGATGTTGGTAGAAGACACCTTTCTATCAAACTCAGTTACTGCTTCAAACAGCAAGTCAGCGGCTTGTATGTGGGGATACCCGTTATACCCTGTTCCTAGGCAAGGAAAGGAGATGGAACTATGTCCCTTCTGGTTTCCAACAGTCAGGCATTTCACCACCAAGTCTTTCAGATGCTACAAAAACAATGAAAGAAACATGTAACAAATTCATCATTTTCATAAATGTTTTGAAGACTTTGATAAAAAAAAAACTGTAAAAATTTAGTGCTCTGCCATCTATTAAACTACAAGTACCTTGATTTAAACAATTATAAGAGATATTAAACAATACACTACACTGCTCTTGGCAAAGTACATGTGCACATAGCAGGAAAACCAGTTTTGATTGTTTCAAAGATTTTACCATAAATGAACTTTACATTTTCATTTTTCAAACTTACTTTTTCTGCTGTTTTGGGATCTTCGTTGTATTTGGGTAAGGTCATGATATAGACCTCCTTACATGGCAAGTTCCCTGCAGTAACAATGGCCAGATCCCCCACTTTGATTCCATTTGGATAGCTACCCCTCAGGTCCTGCTGAATTTTGCTCCCTCCCTCCTTCATTACAGCCTGAGTGACCTGTGTCCTGCTCAGGTCAAGGTCAGGGTGGGCAGACACAACAATTACATCATCCTGTAACAGACATATGTTACATATTCTAAGAGCTATCTTCAGATGAAGTCTTTTTTAATTTCACTGGGAAAATTTTTGGGCAAACAATTTGTATTAAATTGCTAATACTAATTATAAACTGTTTTCTTCTTTATTTGCATTTTCTTCAATTTACTTGATAAGGGAAAAAAAACTGAATTTATTTTGCATGAATAAAAATTTATCATGATGCATCTCTTTCCCAATTCAATCACCATGGCTAAATTAACAAAATTATAAAAATTAGTGATATTTTGACTATAATTTCCATTTTACAATATTCAAATATTTTCCAATTCACTTGCAAAAAACACTGAGACTTAACTCATATCATTATTAATTAACAAGTCATTTCTTGTGAACTAGAACCCTTACCTTTAACTTTGTGATAGAAGCCGTCTTTACTGTTACGACAATTCCATGACTAGCTGTGGTGTAAGCACCTGAAAGAAGGGATTTTTTTTTTGTTTTGAGATTAAATAGTAAACATTGTAATTTCTGAATCAGATATTCTGATATTAGAGCAAAACAGAGCAGAGTACTTAGTAGAATTCTAAAAATTCGAAAGTGACTACCTGGGTAATTCAGTAAACATTGAAATATTCATTTTCATTCCCTAAACTGTTTATGGTTTTGAATATTAAGGAATGTTACATTGTATTTAAAGGTATGTTTTGATTGATTGATTGTATGTTGTTTAACATCCCATTCAAGAATTTTTCACTTATACAGAGACTTCACTGCATGCTGGTGAAGGGCTTCAAATTTAGACCTATACTCGGCACTCAGGGCCATTAAGCAGTGAGGGTTCTTTATCGTGCCAATGCATACCGTGACACGGGGCCTCAGTTTTTAAGGTCTCATCCAAAAGACCTGTGACATTCATTTCAAATGTTGAGCACTTGGTGAAGGAACAATCACTACCCATGTTTACTTCTTAAGTTTGACACGGCCAAGCAAACAATCGAATCTGGGCATCCCAATCATGAAGCTTACGCCCTACACTACTATGACCATTTAAACAAAATGTTTTGAATTTAACTTCCTAGAGTCCTTGAAATTAAACCATAACCAGAGGTAGTACATATATTACCCAATTCATAATTATTTTTATTTCATTGAACTCGTGCATTTGTGTTTCACTTTGTAATGCATTGACATGTGCAATTGATATCAATTGACATTGAATATCATTATAGTTACTACTTTGCCTGATGTGGCAGAGGCATGCAGAAGTCATTTTTGTAGTGCCCATATGACAATGAAAGAGACGTCTGTTCAGGTAAACTCAATAAAGCGAAATACACTGAACTCTGAACAAAGCTAAGGCTTAATTATATAGCGGCTAGAGAATGACAATCTTGATAAAACAGCGTCCAATGATAACTCTCTTCCTTTTATGAATCATGTTCAGCTTTAACCTATGCACATGCAGTCTGACCTATTAATTAACTTTTGTGTTTTACCAATCAAAAGCTTTTAGTGTTGCTCCTTGATGACAAATAATTCCAAGTGGAATTTCTATTCATAACTTCTAGCTCTTTATCCCCTAAATTCAGCCAAGAATTTGATAACTGGAATCTGTTAAATTCAGGTGGAATCCTGTCCTAATGATTATGTCTGGAATTCTAATGGTCTACTATTAAGAGGCAGTCCACCGAAAAACCAGGCAGTATTGTATTAATAGGCGGCACACCGAATGTGAGGAATATTTGATATTTTATTAAAAACAATATCAATGTAGCCCAAAAGGAATAATGTAATTGAAGATTTGTTTGATAATTGCTTATTTAGTAAAATATCCTTGTGTTTTGTGTTTTTGAATGCCCCTATATAAACCATTGAATGTAGGTCAGAAACAAAGAACTGTAATTTCTAATACATTTTTAACAGGACTATAATTCACACTTAACTAAATCTAGAAATATTTCAACTTTTTGTTTAAAAAATAAAATCGGTGGGAAAAACACTTTTGATAGTAGTTTTCTGGCAAAATATAAGGACGTTTTTTATGAAATTTTGCGATGCAAGAGTTATCTTCCGTGGCATCGGTAAATCTGCTCAACACCTTTTTATCGGAATCCTAGTGAAATATTTAGAATCAATACACTTAAGAAAATAATTAAACAAAAAACTAAATACTTTATTTTCAAAATATAATTCATTTTCGCCTCCAGACGTAATATTTAGATTAAAATTGGCTCTATTATTCAGGTTGAATCCACGTTTCCATTGATGTATCAATGACGTCATATACCTGACTAATATTGCGTCACAATGAAATAGTTACAAGTTTCCAGAGAAGTTTGTAAATTCTTTGCGTAAAAGTGTAAAGAAAAAGATTTAAAAAAAAATGATTTCTCTTTTTCTGTTTAATTACTCTTCAGAGTGCATTATTCTAAATGTTAAATAATATTTTAATATCAAAATGTATTTTAAACAGGGGCGGCGTCTCAGCTAGATGACGTTTTGATAAGTAATTTTATACATGTCTGAGAACTAATTTTTTAAAACTGATTTACTAGGATATGCGTAAAAATAATTAATGAAGTGTTTAACATGAACATTTCTTATAGAATTGGGAATCAATGATGAATGTTTTAGATTTACGCAACACTTAATTCAACGAAGTTGAGATGTTTACTTCATGATATTTGTAAAAACTTAAATATATTTATCTATGCAGTCAAATCAAAATAAACAATCCGAAGTACGATTAAAAATGAAAAAAACCCCTGAAAAATAAGTTATAAAAATATATTTATTGAGTTAAACTACTGCTGAACTCCCCACTATAATTTGGCTCTAAAACGGAAGATGGTTTAGTGAAACATTTCGGTTTTTTATTTTTATTTTACTTATTTATTTTTTTAATTTGGCGATTGAAACAATCACACACTCACATTTAATATGGAGTATAAACATGTGACTATGTTGGCCAATTCTAAAATGTTTTCACGTTCATGAAACCAATTCTTAAAAATAATGATGTCATGACCCCCCCCCCCCCCCCCCCCCCCCCGCGCGCTTTTTGCTTGCGATTTATCGGCTCTTGAATAATGATACTATATATGAAAGAACTTATTTTCTTATTTATATAAAATCAAATTTTGTAAAAGAGGAAAAGGCTTTACAGATGACAGGTAAGAAAAAACTTGATAAAGTCGAGACTGTACACATAAAAATATTTCCTGTATTTAGGCAAGTTTAATTTCGCTCATTTAAAAACAGTTAAATGACTGAAAAGAAATAAAAGACAAGCATATTTTTCTGATAAATTAAAATGAAGAGCCAAATTTATGTTTCTAAATTTACAGTAAAAACCGATCCCGATCCGATCGAAAATAATGCAAAATTAACAAATTTATCAAACTAAAGGCACCTGCCACCTATATAACATGTTAAAAAAATAAATCAAGTAAGTTTTTACTCATATTACAACAAAAGAGCCAAATTTAACATTACAATTATAGTATTTTTTTCTTTATATAATTCCGGTCGGGATCGATTTCATTTGGAAAAATTATATATATATAAAAAAAAAATAGGTAAATTTGACTCCTTTTATTTCTTTCAATATACCTGTTCCCACTGATTTTATTGAGTGATTCAAAAGTTTGTACTTTGTATTCATAATAACATAAGAAAAAAAATCTGTCCTTGTAATGTATTGGGTTTTATAACGTAATGAAAATTGGATACTGAATTCAAAAAGTTACTTGCTTAACTCAAATTTGGACCATATAATTTTTTCTAAAGAAGTATAAATTGGAGTCTTATTCATTAATAAAATAAAAGATAAGAGTCTATGCTATAAATAATATTCATCGACACATCCAGCTTTTGAGTATCTGTTACATATAAAACAAAATAAAAACGTAGTAATTTTTTTTACCCTTATGTTGACCTTTTTGCACTTAAAATTAAGCATTTACCAAAAATAGGACTAGAGGAGCACTAAAATTTTTTTAATGTTGTCATGTGTAAACACTTGCTTTAATAAGTCTACATGCAAAAAATAATTAAAATCAATGACATGCGATGTGCCACCCATTGCCTGGTTTTTCGGTGGACTGCCTCTTAATTATAATAATTACAGTTATACTACATTGTGACCATCAGACCTACTATAGGAAAAGCCAAAGGTTAAGAAACCATACCAACTTTTTATAGCACATGCATATTGTTATACACAAATTTTGTTACTGATGAAACACCTCAATTTCTTACCCTGGGTCAATGGAGCTATATGGAGTCTTGGTGCACATTTTTTCTCGACAATACTTACCTGAACCACTGGAGTAAACGGTCTTGTTTAACAGCTGCATTTCATGGTCTTCAAAAGCCTGGGGGAAAATATTAGAAAAAAATAAGTTTCAATTACACATGTCTGAAGTTCTTTTACAGAAACAAGCATCAATAATTAAGAACACTGCTGGTACTTGTAAACTTGTAACAGATTTTTCCCCTGATTTCCCCATTGATTATATGAAACAAGAAAGCAAAACTAGAACTAACTTTGATGGTTTTTGCATCTGCTGGATGGAGAACAAACTGCACATGTTTCACATTAGAATTTGGATGGTTGTTGGAATATTTCTTCACTTCATGGTAAAAGTTTTTGGCCACCTCTGTAGCTGAATATTTCATGCTACCTGTTCCCATGGCAGCAAAAGCTATGGAGCTGTATCCTGATTGGTCAGCATGCTTCATACAGTCCGCCACAAATTTACATAAGGTCTGGATAAAAAAAATGATCAAGATGAGAAGGGGTCATGCAATTCTAACTGTGGATTAATGGTTTAAGGTTTTCTTCAATCAATTTTGCCAAGTTTTAAATTCACTCAGACATGGTTGTGTTAAAGAGATAATTCTGTCCTACATTAATTCACCGTTTGAAAATGGCTCACTTGCTACGACGGGGAAAAATGTCCCTGTATATTACAGTAATGACATTACAATGCATTCTGGATTAGATTAACAGTGTGGCCTTGATTTGAGTTTATACCCACACTTTACCTTAGTTAAATAGGGAAAATTCTGTAATGTAAAATGTAGATCAGCCTTAAATCAAATACAGAAAGAATATTCTCATTAAGTTAACGCAGTCAGAATTCTTTGTTACTTACTGTCTGTGATTTCTCTTCTTCACCAGGAATGGCAGTTAAATACACTTCTTGACAGTTAAGTCCGGCTCCTGGAATACTAGCGAAGTCCCCATAATTAGCAATGCCATTAGGGTACTTCACTTTAGCTCCCTCTTGTAGCAAATTCCCTCCACTTGCTAACAAAGACTTAGCAGCTTTTCCAGATGACGATAGATTCAGTGACTTTTCACAAGCCACTACCAGGACATCAGCCTAAACAAAAACATCTTACATTTAATATAGTGAACAAGACATCCGATAGTTGAAAGGTACTTAATGAGCCACATAAAATTAATGCCTGTCATTAACAGATGAGAGAAAAATCATTAGTACACATATAATAAACATATTTTAAGGTGGGGCACCATTCTTGCTACCCTCAGACAAAAGACACACAGGCAACAACACTCACCTCAATTACCTTGGCCTTTGTCTTCTAGAACAAGATTTGGAAAATATTTGGTCCTATTTATTCCCAGGTATAATTCTAACCAACTTCCATGGTCCCATCCAAACCTTTTTGAGGCCATGATTTGAAAAAACTTGAACTATCACTCAAAAAGGATGCTAATGCTTAAGTATTATGTCCTTTTTAGTGGTTCTTCAGAGGATTTTAAATGACCTTTCCATATTTTTACTATTTCCCTTTGAATGGTACACAGCCCTTCATTTGAACAAACTTGAATCCCCATACCCAAGGATGCTTCAAGCCAAATTGATTTAAATTGTCCTTGTGGCTCTGAAGTTGGAATTTGCGATGATAACTTGTCTACGTTTGTGGTGACCATTAAAAATTTAATTATAGACTTTAATGATTTTAGATATTAGGGTTGGAAGAATTATCTTGTCACCATATAGGAAATATGTTGTGCAATATCTACCATATATGTTTAAGTGTATATCTTAATTTACTTACACTGTGTTTTCCAATTTCACTCTTTACAATAGAAACCTTCATCTTGCTCTTTGTGATGTATGGTCCCTTTCTGGAGGCTGTATAAAATTTACGATGATTTGAAATACTGTGGAATCATCATCGTTCGTGGGGGACCAATGTTCGTGGATTTCGTGGGTCGCCCCAGCCCACGAATTAACATCCCCACAAACTTTTACTTTGTTAACATATTGATTCACTGAATCTACCGTATAGATAAGTAACCCACGAAATTTCGTCCCCATGAACAACTAAAATTTTGCTTTCCTACGAACATTGACCCCCAGGAATTAAAATGATTCCACAGCGCTGTTGAACTTCGTATCTCTTACACTGATATTTCTAATACCATGAATAAGTCAAAGTGAGTTGAAAGTCCCTATCACTTTTTCTTTATGCATTTTAACCCCAATATCTCAAATCCTTATATATCTTGGTCTTTTCTCAGTCCCATCGAGTTCAAGTTAACAAGGTTTGACTGTAATTCCCTCCTTATTATTTATTGCTTAGCTGAGTATCCTTCCAATTTTTTTTAACCATATATGCCATTTCGAGCAAACTGATTATTTTTTTAAACTGAATCAATCATCTTCAGTTTTAAAACCAATATACAATATATATTTTTTAAGAACCATAGGAAACCCTCACCTTTAATTTTGGTCTTTGGGAGATGAGGATTAAGTCGATGTTTCTCTTCTGCTTCAAATGCCTGGAAAATAATCAGTTAATTCATCTTGTTATATGTAATTTTCAGCTGAATATCTTTTTCAAAGAAAAAGATCTGCACAGCCATGTATTGACCCGCCAAATTCAACGATCATGCATTTTGTTTACAACTTTCACTTGCATGTACATAAGTATAAAATTATAAGCTATGCATTATGACGATTTCAAGAATACATAGCCATTTTGTTTAACACTTTTATTCAAAATTTGTTGCCTTACAAAAACTTGTGAAGATTATTTTTACCTTCCAACCCTTGGCTGGCATGGAAGGCATATAAAAATTATTAAAAAAAATAAACAAAATGCATTAATTAATTTCAAAATTAACACAGTTTTCTCTGTAAAATTTATTCCTTCTGATATGTATAGATCTGATTACAATATGAACTCCTACCCCCTCCTGTAAGAAGAAATGTGCATAATTTTAACAAATACAACGATGGAAATTTCCTCTAAATTACCTGTACGTCCTTGCAGACTCAAAATTTTGATGTTAACCACCCAAACCTTTTATAATTACTTCTTAATTTCCTTCTACTTTAAAAACGGGCACAGTTCACTGCAACTGAACTCACCTCACAAGTTTCCAGATCTCCATGGTAGCAGATGAATTTGACCTCTTTGACCTGTGTCCCAGCACATTTACGGTCAAAGTCGATGACAGTTTGGTACATCATCTCTGCCACCTGATCTTTGGGGTATCCCAACTGGCCTGTACCCAGGGCAGCAAAAACAATAGAGTGATAGGAAGAATCATGGGCTGTTCTCAAGCACTTGTTCATAAACTCCACCAATATCTATAAATGTATATCTGTTCTTGTGAAATTTCATATTTCAAGGTTTCTTTATTAAGTCAAGTATTCATTAAAATGTGTGTTTTAACAAAACTCTTTAAGTACCTCAATAGTAGTGATATGTAAATTTGATACGAGCAAAATAATATAGACAATTCATAGATATGAGAAGGCATCAAATCTTCACTGCATTTACAAAGTATAGAGCTCAGGTAAGATAAGAAATCCTCAAATTTCAGTTCATTAATAAGAATTAGTTAATCCTTCATCGTGTTCATTAGATTTCACTGTTGCAGGCATAAAAATAGGAAAACATCAGTGTCTGAAACATGTCGTACTGTATGACATAAGTTACAGTATACAGGGAAATTTTTGGCCCCGTTTTATTTTCACCCCTAAAGCCCTCCTTCCAAGAGGGCGATTTTACAAAAGGCTAATTCAGAGAAAACAGCAGTATCTCTTGAACACTGCTAAGTTTGGGCTAATTGAAAACTCATGGGCAAAATTATTTTCAAGCACAAAGGGCAAAAACAACTCTGTATACAGTATACATACAGTAGATGAGTTTACATGCAACAGTCTCTGATTTAGGTGAATTCTGCAATAACAGAGGAATGGCATAATCATCAAGTTTTCAAATTCTATAAAAAAATGTCTTCATTTACAGCAATAACAAAAATTTTACTTTTGAGAGAAAGATTTTAAAACAAAGTTCCAGGAATTTGATTTTTCAGAACATGTTCTATATACTGGGAATTTTTTGACTTCAATATCCTCTACAATGGGCAACTTTTAAACTCTAACCATTTTTTATTTTCAAAAACAGCAAAGGACAGCAATAGACTGTTTCAACATAACTGTGATACTGCTCTTTTGCAGGGCAAAATGATGCAAAATAGTAGTACATGTACTGCAGTTATAATGAAAGGGTTTATGTCTCTTAAATTATGTAGTTATTTAGAATTGCATTTTAGTTTACTAAATATACCAGTCAAAAAAATCCCAAGTATTAAAACAGTAAAGATTGAAATTTCAACTTGCAAACCTCAGCCTCAGAGTTATATGTATTATCCTGCAATCAAACATCCATTAATTTCCTTTAAAAGACGTCATCTTATTAATAGGAGACAGTGTATAACAAAGCAATTTCTAGCATTCCCCATCAACAAATTATATTTGTTCAAAACTCCCCAAGGAAAAAAAGAAAACAAATTTCACCCATCACTTTATTACATTTTAAACCCTCATATTAATTTTCCTTTATCATATTTAACAAGTTTTTTTTCTTCGAATTTACCTTCACATATCAATTACTGCATTCTTTCTAAAAATATTCTGAAACCTTATTGAACTCTAGCTTTCCAACCTTTTCGAAGACTGACCTTGCCATGTGTGGACCCCCAGTTGGGTAGATAACCTAGGTACAGCTCCTTACACCTCAGGTTCCCCCCACCAATAATTGCTAGCTCCCCAGTCTGGATACCATTTGGGTATTTAGTCTCCACCTCTGCCATAAGTCCCTGTCCACCTTCCTCTAGCAGATTCCTGCTAGATTTTCCTTTTTTCAGCTGAAGATCCTGTGCCACAGAGCACACAATGACATCTCCCTAAGAAAAAAAACTCTTACAATGACTTCTCCCTGAAACGTTCCCATTGCTTTCAACAAAGTATCAAATTAACCAATTGCAAGTCTCCCACATATGGAAATTTCATATATACTTGAAAATGAATTTTTAAAACTCAAAACTAATTTGATACATAAAATGATTTATCAAGGTATCTAAGTAAAAACAGCAATAATCTTGAGCTTTTTCACCTGCTGCTTTGCCAGTTCTCCTCTGACCAGCCTAATTATGATGTTGCTCTCTGCACAGCAGTATGGTCCTGTCTGAATCCGGGGTGTCGGCACAGGTCTAGGTCTCTCAGAAAATATGGAGGATCGTAACATTCTCTCTAAAATTCAGAAGGAATGAGCGTTCTGTGAAAAATTGATCTGGTGAGATGTTATATTCATTACAATGAGATTTTTTTTTTTAAAGAAAAGGAGACTAAAATTTCAAATGTATCATTACATTCTATATTTAAAAATCATTTAGACCAAAATAATTCCTCTTTTAATAGTTTCTTTTTGGCAATGGTACTTATTTTGCAAAATTGAAAACTGAGGTAATACAATTTTAATTTGATAAAGATAATATCTAGATCAGGATTTTTTTTTAAACTTTTCTTTTTTGCTTTTGAATATTTTGTGATTCACAATGTGTGGCAAAAATAGCAAAAAAATTATGATATCTCAAAACTAAGAAGGACGAAAAACAAAATATACTGGTAGATTGCAAAACTTCAATACCAGGGGCAGAAAAATATACTTGCCTTCTTCAAATGAAGACCTATGTCCAAAAGTTGGCAATGAATGAAACTCCTCTATTTCAGGGATAATTCGTCGTTTGGTTCGGACTGGTTCTGCTTTAAATGTGAAATCCGGCTGTTTGGGACCAGTGAACATAATAACTGAATGGCATCTGTCCTCTATTTCTATCAACTGTTCTTGGTCCGTTCGAAGGACTTTGTTGATTCCGGGTTGAACGTAAGTTTTCATGACATGATGTATATCCCCAATCATATCCATGACATCAGATTTGGCCTGTGACAGGCCCTCTTTGGTCCCTTCAATCATTATCTGTTTATTCTGAACATCCAGCTTTACAAAATGTTGTGAAAGATTCGCCTGAATGTCATTTAACTGTTTTGAACAATGCTTTCCAATAAATTTCATAACCCCTTCATCTTCAATGTCCACTATATCTGTATAGATGGAATTCTCCTTGATGAAGTCTTCCAGCTTTGTCTTGATATAGTCATGAAGATCGCTGAAAGCCGTGACAGTGATTTTGGCATCATTTGCAGGGGAAATCATCACTTTTTCGTAATACTCTGACTGCATTTTCATCACTTCATACTCCCACTTTTCAGTGGACAGAACATTCAAAGAAGTTTCATCAAGGGCAATCACAGATTCTTTTGTCATGTCCAGGATGATCTTGTTTGCTATGGATTTCTGACTACTGTCTATTGCATATACTCTAATACTATCATCTTGAAATTCCATCTCAACAGTAAGCCCCTTGCTCTCGAACTCTTTCTGTAAGTTAAATTGCCCTGGTTCTGTTCCCAACAGGAGAATTTGATATTTGGATAACTCTTGTGAAATTGTCCACCTCTCAAACTGACTAAGCTTTTCTTCAATTTTGACTCTTGCTTCCAAAATGTCTTCCCTCACACCCTTGAACAAAATTTTACCATTTGAACTATCCGTATCTACATCCAAATCTTCTCTTATGCCATTCACCTCTGTGATAATTCCCAGTCTTTCTAGAAGTCTTATATTTGGAGCACAGCATTCTCTCTCCTCCAATATTATCTGTTTCTTCCTCTCAATCTTGCTTTCTATGGCTTTGTGCTGGTTACTGGTTTGAATGTGAACTTCCTGGACCAACATTTTCTCTCCAACCAGAACAATCTTGAGACTATCTTTTTCATAGACAGTCAAAATACTCTCAGGGCTATGTGTATGTGTGGTGGTCATGTACTCTTCCACTTCATTCCAAGCATCTTCCGTCACTTCAATCTCGGTCTTATGAATGCTTTCACGTACATAATCATCAAAAATTTCCTTTACGTCTGTTTTCCACGACTTGATGAGTTGACGTACATTTTGTGTTTTCTGATTCAAAAGACAATCCACCTGAATTTCCTCTGTTTTAATAATGACCTTGGCATGTTTCTTCTCTAGCTCAGAATTGAGTCGTTCTAAAACTGGGTTTGATTGCTGTAGATATCTTTGTACATGAAGGTCAACATCATCGATGGTGAACGCCTCAGGTATTGGCACTGTGTGTTTTGAGGAATCGTATATCTCTCCTTGATCTGTGAAGAACATGGGAGTAACCACAAGGGGTGTGTTTGATACTTCATGGTCCAGCTTCTTACAAACTTGTAAGGCATCTAACAAACAAATGACAAATTACAGACTCTAAATTTCTCAGCATCACTGAAAACTGTCATGAGACTTTCTTTCAAAATGAGTTTAAGTGGAGTGTAAATGAAAAAAAAAAAAAAATCAATGAACATTGAATCCCAAAGAAATATAGTGAATATAGTTAATCTAAAGTACTTTCATGATATGACAATTTTGTTCTTAGATGAAAAAATTAAATGGAAGGGAATTAAAATAGAGACGTGCAGAGCATATGAACTGCTTTTATCTGCTTTGTCAAACCATCAATTTTTGCAACAACTTTTACTCGCAATTTGCCACAGCCTTGAAATCCATCTGTAACTCTTAAATTCTGAACACCCAGAATAATATTCTAAGTTCCTAAATAAACCCTAAAATTATTTTTTTGTCAAGATATATTTGCAGGACTTAGTAAACACGTTGCAAGAAATGAAGACAAAATTTGGTTTCGTAAACTCACCTTCTTCATGTTTGAATTTGACCGTGAAGCAGCCATCATTTCTACTTGTTACCCTCTGAACCTCTCCACCCCCACTCCGTTCTTTGTTCTGGAAATATTGCTTCAGTTTTGCATCAGTCACCTCCCCTTCGGCTGATACCACAATTAGCTTCACTGGATCTATGGCACTAATTTCTATACCTTTTCCCTCTAATTTTTTCTTCTTGCTTGCATCATTCAATTTTTCAGCATCTGTCATTGTAAAAGTACCAATTTCCTACCCTGAGATATCTCTTGTTTTACACAAAAATAAGATACATCACAGGATGTCTATAAATAGAAAAATTGCCTTAATGAAAAAGTGAAAAAAAGTGAAAAGTTCAACACTACCCCGGGTATAATTCATTTCTTTTTGTGAAAATAATTATGTAAAAACATCACTGGACCATGAAAAGTGCTGCTAGAATCCTACTCTCCAAACACAGAAAAAAATATTCCAAAGTTTTGCATGAAACCTTACCAAAATTTTTACATTTTATACATACAATCAAGGAATTGTCATCAATTTATGTTAACCACACAATTCTAGCAGCACTTTCCAAGTACTATTAATAGAATACAAATTTTTGATACAAACAAAAATTATGTTTCACAGTATGCAGCGTAGTGTTGAACTTTTGCATCTCTGTAGTTATAGAACGACAGAGGAAAGGCAATCGGGATTTCAAAGCACTGCCTGTGTTCATTACAAGAAAACATGATAAGAATATATCAGCGTACCTGATTCATAATCTTTAATTCCTTATGAATCACACATAACATCCACGGTATATGCTTTAAAACTCCCATTTCATCTATTTGTTTACACGAATTCTCGTCACGTTTCATTTTAACTCGGCAAATATTTGATCAATAGTTATGACGTCATGGGTTTGGTATTTAACCCCCGTGATAAATACTTAGCTATTTATACCACCCAAAAGCGACAAGATTTAGTTTATATGATGTTTATGAATGAATCCATTCATTTCTTGGACCTGAAATTAAACTTTAAATATAGCTATTAAGAAATCATTATTTGTAAAGATCACGTCATACAGCTTACTATGACGTCATATTGTAAAGGCAAGTAGGATATCTCTGGGTGTAGCCTTAACATACCCGCGAGGTCTCCTAAGAGACTCAAGTCAATAGTTCATCTGAGAGACACAAGTCAATAGGTCATCCAAGAGACTCAGGTCGATTATGGGTCAGAAGGTCATCTGAGAGACTCGGGCCAGTTATAGTCAGCCGAGACTCAAATAAATAAGTCACCCAAGCGTGAATATGTGTGTTCAATTCAAATAGTTTAGTTTGAACCTCCTCATCTAGATGAGACCAACCATGTTCCATTTTATTTTCTCCTGCTCATTTCTTCAAATTGTATTGTAAATATTAGGAGGAAAACCATGATTATGTCATTTGATTTACCTTATTGTTTTAACTTGCTTCTTATATATATGTATTCAATAAATCATTGTTGTTTGCCCAAATTGGTTGTTTGTTTTCTACAGACAGGCTTACTTAGGTCTACTTTTTTTAGAAAGTGGAATTAATACACAGAAATACTGAAGAAAAGTATTTAATTTGTAAATTAAATCACCTACCAACTGGAGAATCAAACTGCACAATGGCAGTGGTATTTCCTTCGTTGTAGACCACACTCTCTACTTCAACATCCCCAGAAGCTCTGGCCTCAAGAAAGTTGGTGAGGGTCTCTTCCTTGGTGCCAGGGTGCAGTCCACTCACACAAACAAACAAGTCTACAGGGGTCTAAAACAACAGTCACAATTTTATTTAAAACTCCATATTTGGCATCTCATACACTCACCTCATAAACTGTAAGATATTGGAAAGTACTAGAACTACACATAATTGCACTAATTTACAAATGATTGACAATTAAAAGTTATTTATATTTCTGTCTTTTTCTGAAATCAGAGATCTCCAAAAACATTTAACTAAATAACATAACTTGGCATACTGATTTTTATAACAAACAATATTTAAGTTCAAACTGTTGTTTTCCAAAAATTTTGATTATTGAAATATCTTTACTTGCCAAAACTTTCATATTGGTAAAAAAAAAATCTTAAAGCATTAACTTTCCCACCAACACCAATAACCTTATAATTTAGATCAGTGTTCGAAATAACCGTGCATCCGCCCGCCCGCCCGAGACCAAAAATTTTGCAGCGGGCGAACAAATTTGCACGTACTGACGCCCGGATGAACGTGTTAAAATTTTCAATAATTAAAATTCATATATTTGATAAATCTTTTTCATATCAAGTAATAGTATCAGTAGCAAAGTGTAACAAGCCAATAGGAAAAATTCATCAGTCTATAGATTCTGGTTTGAAGTGTTCCAGTCACATTATCGTTAAAAAACAAATTTATAAAAGACAATTTTTTTCTCGGGCAAGTAGATCTTTTCACATGTCTGACTAATTTTACAGCGAGTTTCAAACACTGTTTAGATGCATATAAATATGGCACAATAATGATCAATTTCTGCATTTCATTGCAACTTGATCCTTCAAAGGCAGAAATTAAATTTCTACATTTGCAGTTTTTCTATAAAATTTCATTTTCTCCACAATAGCAAAGTTGCAGGCTTGAGATATTTTGTAAATTTAGCCTGAACTGTTAAATTTGGACAATCACAGAAATTATCTTACAGAAATTATTAGACTGAAATGGCCATGTTGGTGTAACCTTTGTGTTAATTATTATCCTGCCAAATTCAAACTTTTTTGCCAAATAACTTTAGAAAGTGTTAAAAAAAAAACTTCAGAAAAAAGGGAAGCTGTGATACAATGCTTTCCATTAGTCCATTAAAGGATTCTAATTTAAGATGCAGCATTTTTTTTTTACAGTAAGTTATGATAGGGCCAGTTTATGAGATTATATTTACATCCACTGAATATTTTCTACTTGAATTCTTAAGAAATTAAACCATTTTTGCTTATCAGTCAGTAAACACCGCTAAGCATATCACCTGCACAGATTTCTTAAGCAGTGGCTCTTCCATCAATGAAACGTACAATGACGTACGTATCAATAATACAATATTTAATCTACTAAATCCTACTTCAGGTGATTATTTTTAAAGATAAAAATGTAAAAACAATGAAATGTCTTTCTATGTTTGTTATTATGGGAATTAATGTTGCAGCTATTGCAGAAAAAAATTACATAACCCACATACATGGATTATGCACTAGTCTTTTTCTGCAGCAGCTGCAATATCAATTCCCATATAAATAACCAAAAAAAGCATGTACCATAATGTACACTATTTGCAACTTCCTCCAACAAAAAAGCTATAACTGTCATTCAATATTCATAGCAAAAAAGTGGAAGACTACAGTATCTGCAACTATAGAAAAATTCAATACATGCAAACTTGGCAACTGTCATCAAAAATCTTACAAATTAAAATTACAAAATTATTTATAATATCTTCTCCACTTTTTACCTGTTCATTTTGCTTTGGGACAGGTTTTGTTTCTTTTTCCACATTTCCTGTAGGTAACTTCTTGGGTGGTTTCTTTTCTGTTTTCACATAAATTGTAATAAATCAAAATTATACTTAAGATGAATGCAATATAATTAAATAATGAAAAGTTTCTAACACTTGAAAATTAAACAATTTTTTTCTTTTTACATTTCTGTTTGAAAACTGGGATGTAATATTTTCAAAGGCAGCTTATTTTGAAAAAAAAAATCTGTCCAGTAGAATTGGACAGTTATGTTCAATTTATAGTAATGCTAGAAATGTAAAAAAAATAATTGCCATTTGCTAAAGAAGACACATGTTCAACATACAAAGACCACAAAAAATTTGACCCAAGAAGCTTACTTTTATTGATGGCTCGCACAGCAGATTTTAGAGAATAATGAACATCATTACCTTTCTTCTTTGGTTCAGGTTTTGGGGGTTTATGTTCTGTGGCAGGCTTAGTCTTGGACTGAAGGTTTGGAGTTGTATGACCATGACCCTTGGGAACTGGAATTTCCTTGTCTTGACCAGGTTTGACAGAATCTCCTCCTGGAGTGGGACCACTGGGAGCCTTAGAGGGTGGGGCTCCCTTGGAGTACTGTTGTTGCTGCTGTTGACTATAACAATACTGTTGCCAGTACATGAATTGTTGCATGTAACCTGGGTTCTGTAGCATTTCTTTTGTAATTCCCCATAAACTGGGGTCAAAATCTTGTTGTCCTTGTACATATGGATTACCATAACTTGGCATGCCTCCTGGCATGGATGTATATGGATATGAAGGGTATGGGGTGTGTGGATATTCCATCTTTGGTGGCAATGACTGTGGATTAGCCTCAAAGTCACTGATGGGGGGTTTAGGGGGCAGAGCTGGAGCCTGTTCTTCTATGCTGGTGTTGCTTTGTTGCACTGTAGGAGATTGCTCTGGTAATGTCGGATGTGTAGCAACATTAGACTGGTTTATGTTACCTGCTGTAGAGCGCACACTTTGGTATTCATCACTACCAAAAACAGCAGACTCAGGTGTTGGGGCAATACTTCGAAAGCTCTTAGGAGGGATGGGAGGAGGAGCATCTTTCCTGTATGACCTTTCTGGAACTTTAGGAGGGACAGATTCTGTCTCTGGTTCCCAATTCTGGTAAACAGTTCTGTTTATTGGTGCTTCCTCTTTTTTATCTGGCTTCTTTGGTTCACTAAATCCATCTCCTTGAGCTTCGTCATCAGGATCCCAGTTTTGATACACCGTTCTGTCTGATATCATTTTCCCTGTAGGAGTAGTTTCCTTTAACTTTGGTGGCACTGTTGGAGGTATTTGAACAGGTACCTCCTGTACTTCAGAGTGGGGGGTCTGATTAGTTGTGGATGGTTCTGAAGAAAATGTTGGGGGACTCCATACAGCCTCTGGGGTACTTGGGCTTCCACTGCCCTCTGAATTTTGGCTTGTGGTTTGGTCTGTAATTGTGAGTTTCATTGGTGGTTCTGTGGAAGCTGTAAAAGAAACACACACTGTAAACTAACTATTATTCATAAAACTTTTATTCACAATTTGTCAGTCTGAAATCCACAGCGATTATTAAGGGAACATTGTATTAAAATGCACAACTGAAGAAATAGTTCTCAAACAGAAATATTTGTGAAGTAAAGAAGGAACTGCAACTCGCAGATATTTTTCTTGAATAAAAGTTGGTTAAGAGTATTCAATACATAAAGAAACTCCTTCATTCTGATTTTAAAGGAAATAAAACCAGCATAATTTTGTATAGGGTGTACCTTCCTCATGTTGACGAGCATCTTCAAAAATTTCACTATCATCAGAGGACACATTTCCTTGGTTATCCTTCAGGGAGTCAGTTTCCTTATCCTCTTCCTCATCTTCCATAGAACTAGTGTCATCTATCAAAAACCGACCAGAGGGGTTTTCCGATGTTGTGGGGTCAGTTTCCTTAATGTCCCCCTCCTCTTCTGTAGAGCTTGTGTCATCGGTCAGAAATCGACCAGTCGCAGATTCTGATTTTTCATGGTCCACTGAGGTCCCCTCATCCGAGTCCTGTACAAGATTTTAAAAAAAATCATTCTCTCTGTTTTCTGAATTGTTTACCAACAAAACCTTATTACTTAATGACTTTGTTGTCTGATCTTGCATTCATTTTTATCATTATTATAATTTTAACTTAATAAAAATTAACTATGTCAATAAATGAACAACTTATATAAGCTGAAAGTTTTTCCCTTCCTGTTACACTACTAGTTCAGTTCTTAAATAAGTATTTACACTGAGTAAATATGATAAATATTTGTATATTTTTAAAATGAAAGTAAAGAATTTTTTTTGGTCTAATACTAAGTTTGGAAAAGACTAATCCATTATTGACAAAAAAGCCAGTAACTGTTTCATATATGCAAAAAAATATCTTAGCATATACACATATATACTGAAATATTCAATAGTCAGTGATGAGTACTATATATTGAACTAGAATTAAAATGAAAGTAGGTGCATATAAAAATGAAGATGCAATACGTTCAGATCCTATATATATCTTGGTATAAATATTAGTCAGTGCACAATGAAAATACATGTCCAGTATATACAAACCCTCAACCTGTCCAACTTAAGGCCAAGATAAATAAATAGTGTGTTTCCTATTCCAACCTGAGAAAAAAAAGGTAGGTAGGTAGGGAAAACATTTTATTTTATTTTAATATTTTATTGGCAAGCATGCTACCATTTCTCCCCGGGGAAATCGCTGTCAAAACATTTCTGATTAATGTGAATAGGATATGCATTTTCTGAAACACGGAAGTGATCGAGATTAGGATTTCTATTAGTGAAACTGAAATAGTTTACTCCTGGGAAAGATATCTGCGGATAAATTTTTTAGGGTCCGCTCATATATTTTAGGGTTGGTCGGGGAACCGGAAACACACAATTTATTATCTAGGCCTAATAGGAAAGTACAACAAACTGTATCTATATTCCAAGCTAAAGAGGTTATATTGATTAAGAATTCAAATTAGTGCTGACAGATCAGGATTTAAAAAAGCACAATAAAAATGGGAAAGAAAAAAAGTTCACAATGAATACCTGAACAGTGGAGGATTTTGAGGGCATGCAAGTTGTTGCCGATGACAACTCGGATTGTGGATTTTGTGGACCATGAACGTTTGAGGAAGCCTGGTTCATGCTTGGTGTTTTACTTTCAAATGCCTTAATCTTGTCTCTTACCGACATCCTTTCTGACTGTTTTTCTTCCTCGCTATCTGACATACCCTACTTCTGCATGAAACCAGTCTCAGGGGAAAATCTAATTTTAACAAAATTTTAATACATATGTATAAATATACATATAAATATATTATACTAAAAGTGCAAGTCTACTATCTTTTAAATCAACATCAGCACAAGAGCATCTATAAATAAAATCATCTTTGTACTATTTGATAGAATAAATCAACGTTGAATTTAACCAAAATCAACTATTTACAGTACCTGAAATGTCATGAAAAACAACTTCTTTCTTATTATCATGAAATGAGATACGCAGAGTAGCTTTCTTTTTTCTGGTTATCAGGGCATGTCAGCTGATCATTTTACTTCCATACCCATAATTAAAGCTACCTTTTCCGCGAAACCAAAACGAAAGTAGAAATATTTTGCTGACAATATCTACCTAATCGTCCAAAATTTATCCTCCCATTATCATCAGTTGGTCATAACACATTCAAATAATAGAATATATAATAAAATTTTTCTATTTACGAATGTTTATTTTGTTTTTCACAATACCTTTTTTTCACACTTTTCCCCACCACCACGCACAGTTTCAATGCTGTCTTTATTTACAGCTGACTAAATAAAAGCAACGACCTCTCATAAGAGAGAAATAGGAAAACTTTTTTCTTTAGTGTCACACAATAGAAACAGCATTGTTCATCTGACCAGGGTTTTGGACTTGGTTGTACTTTCGAAAAACTCCGGAAAGTCCAGAAACAATGCACATATTCTGTGCATGCGTATTCTCCACTTTCGATTGCGAGTGACAAATGGCGGGACACTTGTTGAAGGGGTGAATGTCTTAAGTAATAATGATCGAAAATTGCTGATAGTGCATAGCATTTTTTTTTCTTTCTTTTCTTCTTCTTCTTTTTTTTCTTTGAAAATAGCGTAGCCGTATTTCTAGTACGTACGTAAAAAAAAAATAATTGACTATATTTAAAAAAAAAATCAAAAAAACTCCAAACAAACCTGATATTAACGTAGGTCGCGGGTTTGCTGACGTCGTTAAAACTGGGTACGCAATGTATATGATTTGGGTGACTTTCTTGTGCACATTTGATTATGACGTCACAATGAAAAAGAAATCTGCGATGATATTCTTCAGTATATCATTATTTAGCTATAACTTTTCTTGGAATTTGTAGTTTAGTGTTATAGTGTTTAAGCAAGAACTTATCACAAATAATGAAGGCTTTTTACGATTTGTATAGTCGATACAATACTTAGATAAAACTTTTGTTGTAATAGGTAATTTAGTGAAGAAGGCTTATTACGATTTGAATGATCGACACTGGAAATATTGAAAAAAGTTTAATTATTTGTTATCAATCACATCTTTTCGGGCCTTTCCTGCAAGCTTGGAAAAACAAGTGGTTGTTTTTCGGCTTGTCTGAAAGGCCCGAGAAATTGCGATTGATTTGTTTTCACTTGGTATCGCGAAACGATATGGACACAAGGTTCAACTGACCTTTTTTCCTTTGATGGTATTTGAATTATCAGTTTGTTTTATTAAGAAAGAAGCCATTATTTTAAAAAAAAAATTGCAAATACACCTGTTACATTAAAAGATTAAACTTTATTTTCAAACAGGATATTTTTTAAAATATATAGATGTACAAGTTTATCAGAAATTAAATACTGCTAAGGTACGATGAAACATTAAGGCAATTTTTTAGCGACACTGACCTCCTGTTAGGGGACAACTATTTGATTCTGAGGGAGGGGGTGTGTGTGGCAAATTTTACGGAGTCAGATTGTTTATATTTTCATGTCGGCGAAGGATAGATTATTTATTTCCAAAAAAAAAAAACAAGGACAGATTATTTATTTCTTCCTCGCTGAAAAAAGTCTGACAAGGAAATAAAAGAAAAGAAAAAAAAAGAAAGAAAGAAAAACATCAAAGTTGAAAACTCCCATGGGGGTGAGGGTGCTAGAACTAGTCTTGGACAGATTATTTATTTTCTTGCCCAGTCTTGGACAGATTATTTATTTTCAACATTTTCGAGGACAGATTATTTATTTCCAAAATCTGTAAGCCCCCCCCCCCCATGAAATGATCGTCCCCTAGGCAACAAGTTGCAATTCTGTTACCTACGGATTTTATTCGCTACTTTGCTTTCCATGTCCAACAAGTAGAATTAATGTTCTAAAAAACTGGCTGTTTGATTACGTCAGACAAAATTAATTTTTAAATCCTCGTCCCATTTACCCCTCTGAAAATGTGGTATGTAAAAATAAATATTTTGTTCAAATATATACTGAAAATATATTGTATTTAGCCGGGACGATATTTGGCAGAAATTCGTAGATTTGAGCGCCTTGCTGAATGGTCTAAATAAAACATTTTATATACTTGAATTACTTGAATTAAAGGATACCGTTTTCCGCCAGCACGCTTGAAAAGAAAAATACACAGCCAAATGCATGTAAGGATACGTCTAATCTACGAAAAAAGCAAAACAAAACAAACAGAAAAGAAACGGTAAGAAAACAACACATAAAGAAAGTAAATTGGAAGAGAGAAACTAAAGGATTGGTTGTTGTTTTACGTCCCTTGCGAGAATTTTCACTAATATAAGACGTACAAAAAACCTAATCTGAAGAGAAACATGTCTAATAATCATTTCATTGTTATTGAATTATTATGATACGATTCACGGGTCACTTGAAAGCAGATAGACGTGAATTTCTTTTTCATAAAAAATTATTCTAGCTTATTTTTCTGCACTGAATACCGGATAGATATTCACGACGTCAAGCATGACGTCGCGATATTTTATGACGTCGTTCTTAAAAATGTAACATTTTGCGATATAAAAGCAATTGTCCACATTTAAATTACGCAAAAACTAACCCGAAGACATATTAATTTTTTCACATTGATTTATTTCAAATCAATTCCTTGTTAAAATACCAAAGGGAAAACAATTTCGTCTGCACCATTTAAAAGTTATTGATATTTTTTAAAACAAAATCCTGCCCCAAAACGAGCCAAAAACGACGTTTTTCTTATATAATTCAATAGAATAACGTCGAAACTGTAACGACAACAATGGCATGTTTGGGATTTAATAACACAAAAACGATGCAGACGAATTTTATAAAATTTTCAGAGAATATAAATTGAAGGTAGTGGATTCATATAACTAATTTTCATGGTATGTTTTCGGACACTTTTAAATGGCCTGCAAACCCGCGACCTACGTTAAAAAAACACACACACTTCAGAGGGCCGCATAAAGTCTTTCTTATTCAAAAATCTTTTTATACATGCAATTTTTAAGCTAAAATTTATTTTCTCAAAATATTGGCAAATCTAACATTGATTCTTACAGAAACAAGAAAACGGATTCAAATGAGATCAAATCCTAGAAATACATGCTGAGGTTTTCAAATCACAGCTCACTGATTGACGAATGGAAAAACTTGACGAGGAATAAAATTCAGGTAATCTCTAGAAATCAGGAGCGTCATAATCAGATTTCTATATTTTTATGAAAAATCTTTAAGATATTCGTATTTCTAATCGAAAATCTATCAGACATCGTACAGCTCTCGTACGTGAAAGATATGCAACGTATTATTGTTACGGTTTCACTTTTGGTGTACTACAGTTAACCTAATATTTTAATATTTGAACCCTTTTTTTTTTTTTTAGATGAACTGAGTCACTCAGATGACCTATTGCTATCTGTTTTAATTTCGTCCGTTGGTGTGCTTCGTCTGTCGTTCTTAAACTTTTAAATATTTTCAGCTTCTTCTCTTGAATGATAGAACCAATTACCGTAAAAAACACTTTGACCAAAAGCATCTATGGTCAAAGCGGAACAAAAAATGTGAATTCCATGCCATTGGTCTCTGCCAAACTGGGACCTATGGGTGGGGCCAAAACCATCAAAATTCATGCAGTCTTAAAAAATCTTCTCTGCTCCTGGACATCAAGTAGTAAAACTGTTGGTTGGCATGATTATACATGTAATATGTACGAGGGTTGTCCATAGAGTTCGATCGTGGCTGAAAGGACGTCAGAGACAAAATATTTTTTTTAAACAACTTAAAATTATTGGAATATATTTAGTTCATTGATTTGAAATTGGTGTATACAATTTTTCAAAGGTGTGTACAATCTCGGAGACACTACAAGAAGTACAAAACCAGTGTTTTTTTTTTGTTTTGTTTTTTTTTTAGTGAAAATAGAATATTTCTATTCAATACGTTGTAAAAAAAGAAAGAAAAAAATCTAGCGCAACTTCGGTCTGGACTGCGCATACAAAATGTTTATATTGACGCTCGTAAATTATCGTGCATTGTTTTAAATTTCAAAAATTAACTCAATTATAGTCTATACAGAAATATATCTGCACATACTTGGCGGTGTGGCATAATAAAGAAAATGTAGCACGTGTCCATGAACATGTGATGAAAATTCAAAATTCATATTTTTTGACGTTATTATGAAATTAGCGTTACGTCAAATAGGCCATGCGGCTTGCATAATTCAAAGTATTTACACCCATAACGTTTGCATTGTTTTGATTTTTATATATTTACTAAATAATGGTCTATATTAAAATATTATCGTACACGATTGCCATTGCGGACTTTATTAAGAAAATTATAGCATCTGTCCACGAACTTCATGGACAACCCTCGTATTGACTATTGAGCCCTCTACCAAAAGTGAAAATTGTGAAATCAGTGGTCCCAGGGTGAGGGGTTCAGGTTAGGGTGGGGCTCTATTGATTATACAGTAAAAATGTATAAATTCTTTAAAAATCTTCTCTCTCCCCTGTTTATTCAACAGACAAATTAAGTGCATTGTTATGATAAGTAAGAATGCCTCTACCGTAACTGTAAAATTCATTAAGCATGGATTGGGGATTGTGGTGTATGGGTGGGGCTCTATTTATTACGTAGAAAAAAATACATAAATTCTTTTTAAAATCCTCTTCTCTGCTCCTAGGTATTGATCAAGCAGACAATCTAAGTGCATAGATATGGTAAGCAAGGATGCATCTTCCAAAATTGTGAAATTTACAACTGTCCCTTGGTTAGGGGTTCTGGTGTAAGGACAGGGCTCTACTGATCAAATAGTGAAAATACGTTGATTCATTGAAGAAAATTTTCTTCCTTGCTCTTGGGAAATAAGCAGACAAACTAAGTGCACTGATATGATGAGCAAAGGTACCTCTCCAAAACTGTGAAATTCACGGACCCTGAGTCAGGGGCTCTGGTGTTAAGGTGGGACTCAGTTAATCATGTATGCATTAATTCTTTGAAAATCTCTTATCCTGGTGGGTATTAAGCAGACAACCTAAATGGTTCTGATGAGCAACGTAAATAAATCTTTGTTGTTGAGTACCAGACTAAGTATTTTCTTGATTCCTGATTGTCCTATTCTCCTGCTTTTGGACAACATATCCTCATCTACCAGTTTTTGTTTTATTATATGCTTATCAAATTGTCATTTTATAGGTCCTTTACAAGGTTGTATAACTTGTATTATACTCAGATGATCGTTATAAGGCCCTTGAGCCTCTCGTTTTGATTAAAATAAGATTCTTCTTAATATATTTTTCTTACACGTAACATCTGTGGAGCCATTCAAAAAAATACATAATCACACACACGGTTATAGGGATCACATATTTTGGTTACCTCTAACCGGAAAACATGTAACCTTTTTTTCTCTATTTCTCCAGAACCCCCCCCCCCCTTTCCCCTTATAATCTGAATTTTTTATCAATTATTGAACATACATTTTTTTATTTATCTCAGTTATTACCTATTTACAAGTATATGTGTGTTGGGCTGTGTGACACTGGACTACAGCTGGTAAAAGATCTGTAAAAACTGCTGCATAAATTTCAGTAAATATGATATAAAACATTTCACATAAAAGTAGATTGGATATAGAATGTTTCAAGTTAAGAGTGAACAAGTATGTCCTATTGGTGCGTTTCATACAAATTGGAAATTATACATATGTAAAATATCACAGGCACTTCATCAAGCCTCTTTATCTAAATCACTTATTTATTCGTCGAAACTTACCTCAACACATTTCAGAACTTTACACAAAACATCAACTTCCGGTTTCATTTAATCAGGGGGCTCAATTGACTATATACTGTATTAAAAATGCATGAATTCTTTTTAAAGTTCTTCTCTGCAGTTAGTTATTTAGCCTGTATATTTAACAGACAAACTAAGGGGTTCTATTTATTATATAAATAAAATGTCTACATTCTGTAGAAATCTTCTCTTCCGCTGCTTGGTATATTTAGCAGATAAACTAGTTCATGGTTATGATGATCAAGGGTCTCTCTTCCAAAATTGTGAAATTCAAGGCCCCTGGGTCAAAGAACTTTCGACTAAGACCAAAAACGTAAGTTGATGTAAAATTTTGCAAAATTAATGATTCTGTTTAAAATTGCTAGCGTAAAAATATTTTACTACATTCCTTTTAAAAAGATTAAAACCATTTTCAATATGATGTAAATTAAAAAGTTATAAGCAGAATTAAATTTTGTAAGTTCTTTTGTAAAACAGGCCCCTGGTGTTATGTTAGGGTTTTATTGATTAGTATTATAGTTAGCAAATTTTAACAAATTTATAGAAGGGAAATATAAATTGTGAATTTAATGATGTCTACATTCCTGGGGCCTGAAGGATGGGCTACTACAATACAAATTAAGGTAATCTTCAAATATCTTAATTCTCCTATACTACTGGATATAAAGCAATCAAACTGTTGGCATGAATTTACCAGGTACATGTCCGTCATTTTTGACATTATATTTATGACGTCACGGTAGAAGAAAAATAATGTTTCATGCTTTGAAGTCTGCATATCCTTCTGGCTTAGAAAATAATTCAAGATTCCTCCCATCAAAATCTGATTTTTTTTTGGGGGGGGGGGGGGATTACTGACCATCAAACAAAACATTGGCCATATTATTTAAGTTCACCGTAAAATAGCTTAACTTGCTATAATATTTTTATGAATTTGGCATATAGGCCTAAATCAGTTATATATATAACAATCCACGAAAATTAATTATTTCACAACACATACATGTAATATTATATAAATACTGCATGTAGTTGAATGTAACATTGAAAATTTTCACCCCAAGAAAACCATTGTCAACCGAGGCGCAGTTTTATACGTCTATATAAATATTGCATGTAGTTGAGTGTAACATTGAAAATTTTCACCCCAAGAAAACCATTGACAACCGAGGAGCAGCCGAGGTTGACAATGGTTTTCGAGGGGTGAAAATTTTCAATGTTACACTCAACTACATGCAATATTTATTATATTATACTGAATGTTTTATACAAATAAATATAACAGTGAACCGTGCGCGCATAAATATTGCGCAGTCACTATTTTTTGGAATATCGCCCGTCGTCAAGCAATGTTGACTGTTGTTACGCTGGAGGGCGTGGCTTCATTATTCAGCGGGTAATAGCGTTTTTTAACAAATGTTTCTCGACGAATCAGATTCACTAATAAATTGCCAGTATATAAAATATATAGGGATATTTTATACTTTCATGTAAATTAGTTGAATCTGATTCGTCCAGAGAAACATTTGTTAAAAAACGCTATTACCGCTGAATAATGAAGCCACGCCCTCCAGCATAGCAACAGTCAACATTGCTTGACGACGGGTGATATTCCAAAAAATATTGACTGCGCAGAATTGATGCGCGCAAGGTTCTCTGTAATATGTAATTGTTACATTAAAGTTTTAGAATGTGTGAAATATTTGTATAAAACTGCGCCTCGGTTGACAATTGTTTTCTTGGGGTGAAAATTTTCAATGTTACATTCAACTACATGCAGTATTTATATAACATTTTATATACTGGCAATTTATTTATTTATAATATTATTTATAATATTTATTATATGTAAATTCACTGACAATAGTTTAACTCTGTTAAGTACGAAGAAACAAAATAAGATTGTTTGAAAAAGAAAAACTGTCATTTATTTACATTATAAATGACGACATAAAGAACAGAAAAACAAAAACAAATATCATGAAAATAAACATGTTGCAAAATCAGAAAAACAGTAAGATATAATCAATTTTGTTTCAATGGGTATGAAAGGTTGGGTATAAAAATTCGCAAACACCACAATTCTACATATGTTAAATATGCTAAGATAATAAAACATAAAACTATGCCATGTCAGATGTTCAAAATGAATTATATTTTAAGGTTGTAAATTAAATATTTAAATTATGCAAATCATTTCACTCTTTAACCTGATTAACAATAAATCTAACTACTATTTGATATATTTTTATTCAAAACATGTTTTATAAATGTGAAAAAAACATTAGCTGCATAACTGTAGCTCCCTGGTTGAGAAAATTCGGACTGACAAACCAGAGAGCTACAGATCAAAGCATAAAAACCTTCGAATTACGGCGACGCTCGCTTTGGGTATTATTTCTTGTATTATGCGTTTCCCCACTTAAAGGATGATATTATTTAATTAACCATAGTTTACTTGTATTTACTTTAGGGATCAGTCGTTTATCGAAGCAAAATGGTAAACTCAATGATATTTTAAAAATCTTAAGACCCCATTGTAACTGGTTTGGTAAAAACCATTTAACGAAAAAGTTTAGGCATTGAATTGTAAAATTTTGGACTTAACCAACGTGTCATAATACGGAGCCTCTGCACAGCCGTCCGTGTTTTGACACGTTGAATGTCTAAAATGTTACAATTCAATGCTTATATATACATTATATACAGTTAAATAAAAAAACCATTACATTAAGCTTTTTGACCTCTCCGTCCGTGATATTGTGTTATGAATGCCGAAGCTTTCAGCACACTTTATAAGGAAAAAAAACACATATGAAATGTAAATATTTATATAAATGACTATTTTAACATTAGTAAATGTAAACGACTTAGCTTAATTAATGCCCTGTTAACTAATCAACAAGACAGAATCATGTGAAATCTGCTATAAAAAAATTCTGCCTTTGTCTTTTCATATTGTACTTCAGAGCAATGCCCACAAGAATTCTCATTATTGTTCATTGTGCACTATTTTTAGCGTTTTCGTTCCAATCTGAAATTGAAAATGAAAATATAGATAACTTGATTGTTATTAGAATTATAACAAAAAAGGAAGTTTAAATAAAGCATGACACAAACCTTCCTCAGTATTACAGAAAAACCAAGTGACTCCAAAGCATAAATAAAAGAATCTAGCGAACTCTCATCCTTTCTCTCAAGCAAGGTTAAAAGTCGTGTCGCTTGCTCTCCCCTCTTGTCTAAAAGCATAATATTTTTATACTCCTCTTCAGAAATAGCTCCTTCTTCTAACAAAATATCTGTCAATTCCATTGGTTCAAGTTCAGATATCAACAAATTGCGATTTTCATGAAATGCAGATAGATCCAGCTTGTGTTTTGTTTTTGGGTGTCCTACAACCAATATAATACATGTATAGGATAATAAATACGTGTGTGTTATATAGCTACTACAAATTATTTTCTAAAAAAGCAACGATTTTCTCTTTTCTTCTTAGCATTATTGACAAATAACGTGAGAAAATTCAATATTATTTAAAAACTTCTAATGGGATTCTCGAGCAGAATGGTCACAAATCTTACGTATATACCTTCTTGAGAAAGACACCTATCGCACATTTTCCTTATGACCGTGATACCAACATATGGTTTCATGGACATAACTAATTTTGAACAGCTTTCATTTCCACTGATAAGAACGTCTGAAAGAAATATAAGTCTGGCTTTTTTGTCAGTTTTGTATTCATTTTCTTGAAAGACTTCCTTTACAAGTTGCTGGAATTCTTCTTTACTTAAAGCAGATACATGACTGGATATTTGGCTGAAGTTTTTCCGCAATACTTTAGATCCATAAACTGCAAAACAAAGATTTTTTTCATGATTTAAATGATAAGCATTGCATTGTATTGTAACTTTGTTGGGCTATAATACACTGTATATGAAAACAGTTTACCTTTTAATCTGTTCTTCCAAATTTTGAAAATATCAGTGACTGGGATTTGGTGAGATCTTTGCACTGGACAAAGATAGCAGGACATATCCTCTGCTCCGAGAATGTCTGTTTCTTCTATAAACGAAGTGTCTACACTTCCAAATGAGTCTGTTTTACATTTGTATCCAACCGTATAGGATGCACTGTACGTAAATGTTGTGGCAAGCCTCTGCAGATTTTGTTCTATATGGTGCCTGATGTATGTTGTAATATCAAAATCCAAATTGTTATGATCACCTTCCTTGAAAAGAATTTGAACTTGTATTATGTTGTTGTGTACTCCTATTAGGACTCTTTGATTTTCGTATGCAAAAAGACAAACGTTTCTGTAAATGCATTTTCCTTGTTTTCCTTCTTCGTCGCATAATATTTTCCATCCTTTTGATCCAAGGCAAGCAGCAATTAAGCGATGAAAGTAAAAGTTAGATAGAAAGTCAAATTTGAAACAAAGTGTTGGAGTACACCTATAATCCTTTATAACTTCCGGATTGAAGACCTTTCTGTTTGCACATGGAATAAAGTACCAAAACTTTGATTTGCAATCTCCTGATGATATTTTAGCTATCAACCCGAGCCTCTCCATATATAAAAGTATTGTGTTTTTGTATTCTAAACAGTCCTCGGCTTTATGCCTCCAAATTTCCTCTAACAGATCATCACCCATTTCACCAGTTTCGTAGAAGATTTCCCATTCTCTAACATATGTATACTCTGTTCCTGTTTGCTTTTTATCCATTATGATGTGTTTGAATGCGTTCACGAACCATTGAGTATCAAGTATTACATAGTCACGAAGGCCCGCAGCATTGAAATATAAAATGATTCCGATTTCATGGAAAAATCTTAGCATATCTTGAAATTCTTGTTCACACATTTTCATTTCTTCAGGCAATCCGTCGTTGATCTGTTTCAATAATTTTGTTTCTATTATCTTAGACTTCGAGAATTTGTTTTTCAACTCATATTCAAACAGAACCCAAGATGATGGCACTAATTCACCCCAATGATTTTGCTTTTGAACAAGCTGGCTGATACATTGTTTTATTTCATCTGTTTCTGCTCTATAATCAGTGGAAAATCTGGTTGGAAACCCTACTGTAAATTGTCTATTTGGATCCAAATGCTCTTTCATCTTTATTCCTTTCTCATCGAGTTTCCAAACACTTTTAAAGAAGTCTTCTCTTTCCTAAAAATATAATTATACCTCCTAATTTTTTGTAGTTAGGCATCTTAGCTGGAAAGCAATTTTTTGTGTGTGCTATTTTTGCCCAATTTTTGTTTCAAAACTTAACAAGTATTTTTGTTGTTGTCCTCAATAAATATGTTTATTCATGAAACTCAATTTAAACAAAATGTAAATCCCATTAACAAAATAAAGCAAGATGCTTTACATTCTATCTTGGAATGAGGATGTACACGTAGTTCCTAATCCTACATGTTGTAGAAAAGTATTACACAGGATTTTCCATAGTTCCTGAGATAGGCATCACGCCTACTGAGAATTGAGAATTAATTATGTTTGATATATTTCGACAAATAATGCTACCAAATGTTATTCTGCATAAAATGTGTAATATATGCACGTAATCTTTTTATCTCTTTATTTATAATGAAAGAAGATATTCAATGTTTTGTAGTTGGATATGGAATTTATTTCATGGGGCAGGGTTTTTTTTTTTTATATCTTCACGAGTACGAAGCACGAGAGTAAATATTTTTAAAAATATCTTGTTTCACGAGTAAAATAAATTCCATATCCAACTACAAAACATTGAATTTTCTGTTTATTACATTTATTTTTGATTTTCCCTTTGCCTCTCTTTGTCGTAGGCTGTGACGTCATTCATAGTTGAGCGGTTGAGACGTCATAGCGTAGCAATTTTGTGTGATTGAAAAGATTGTGACATGGATTTTAGCAAGATATTTGCGAAGAAATTGGCAGTTTTAGTCTCTATCAAGATGGTTTAGTTACTATCTCATCTTATTATAGGCCAGGAATTTATTTTTTACTTACTTTGATATCCTTTCACACGGAGAAAATACAGCGTATCATTTTGGTATCCTTTCACACTGTGAGAGAATATCATTTTTATTCAATAAATAAATCACAGTATTTTACTTTTGAAAATGTAATTAAGCGTTTTATTTCTAAATGGTGGAGGACTGGGATTGAGATTGGTGGTAAGGGAGTGCAGAACATATTTATTATACTGGTATACGGCCATCTAGTAAACAAATTACTTTAAACATCCTAGAAGAGCCGGAAAATCATAAAGATTATTGTCCAAGTATGTCTTTTTCTAATTATGCGTTAAGACAAAGGGATCTATCTCTATACACAGGCAACCAACCTGTACAGCAGATTTGAGTATTAATGCACACATGTACCTGTTGACTTTTATTCTCCGCGTGTGTGGCAACAAGAATTACTGGAACTGGTTGTTTGGGGTTGCTGTATGTATGCAAAGACTTCATCCAAAACACAAAATAATCTGGAACCGAAATTTCATAAATGCTCATATTTTATGAAGAACACGTCTTCATTTTGTACCATCCTTTAAACATTTCAAGAATTTAACCTCAGAAATTGTTAACTACAAATGAATGAATGAAAAAATAATGTGAATTTCCTCATGAAAGTACCTTCATAAGTCCAATTTTCAAACATTGTACCCTCTTGATCATTCACACTTTCATCTACAGGCTCTTGAAGATCTTTGGACATATCTACGACAAGAAGATAGAATGCCCTTGGACTAAGGTAAATCTGATGACAGGCATAATAAACACACTGTCCCGCAAAATCTAGGAAAGTAACAAGCTTTTTGGAATGAAAGGAAGCAGAATGCAGCATTTTTGCAATGAAAGTGCTTTCGTTTGCATCCATCTCCTTCGAGTTCTTTGATTCACTAAGGACAGTTTCCATATTTTCTGTAAAGGATATTGTTCGGGTTGCTGCAGTGGGTGATTGATTATTTACAAGACTAATTCTTGTTAAGTCTGGGGAAGAGTTATTGTCCTTTCCTTTCTCTTCTGAGGATAGTGGATGATTTTCAGTTGTTTTTGTTTCTTCAGATATTTTAATTAGATTCTCATCACTTGTTTCACTTTCATCATTACTTGATTCCTCTGACTGAGTTTCATCAACGGAGGTCTGATGCATGTATGCTTTGTTGTCCTCAGGGCATAAATGAAAGTATGTGTCAACTTTTTGCCTGTTAACTAGAGGTAACATATACATGTAGACCGTGTATAATTTTGAAAAGGTATAATAATGATGTTTAAAACTAATAGTGATTGAGTTATGTTACAAATGTCTTTAAGGAACAAATGTGTCACCTACGGGTATTCCATGATATCATCCGAAAATATACTTGACATATATTGAGGACAAGGGGAATAAATTTTGTTTTGAAAAAAAATCACTATCTTAAGTTTCTCTCTAAAATCCATCAGAAACAATGTTTAACAAAAGCTTAAAAATAATTTGTTCGGTATTGATAAATAGATGGATCCCAACACATTCAACTACAGCTAAACATTTCGACGATTTTGATCTCCATGTGATGGTCTTATCTAATTGAATTCATAAAGCTTTTTCTGTGAAAGTGTGACTCCTCTCAAACCGACAGAATTCAGACAAAAGTGATCCCTAAGCTACGCAGTCAAGAGAAAAAGATTTTTTTTTTAGCATTTTAATGTATAGTTCAAGACTGAAATACTGGTGAAACCTGTCAATTCGTTATCCTCTAAGACAAATACATCTCTGTGAACGTCCACCCCTATTGTTGTTTTGGTTTCTTTTTTAACCTTTTTGAGCCCCTTATTTTGCAATCGATTTAATAATGTAGTCTTTCCAGCACCAGCACAGCCAACAATCATTCCTCTTGCATGGAAAATTCTTTCCTTTCCTTTCTTTAGATAATCAATGTAGCGACGGATTTTTTGTTCTCCCCCTTCCAATATTTCTCCAGGAATATTTACTGAAAAAAATACAGTACAACCTGTTACGTTAAATGTAAAAATAAAGTTTTTATATGTTCAAATAAACACAAATGACAGGAAAAACACGTATACTTTGAAGAATCCACGGTTTTCGCAGGAGAGGGACTTCATATAGCTTTTTATAACAAGCAAATTTAAAGAATTGTGATCCCCCCACTTTCAGTAGTTGTGATGCAATTATTCAGGGAACATTGTAACTGTTTCTTGTCTGTATGTAACGTATTGTCTATCCATCATACCAAAAATATTTAAATTATTTAATTAATAAAAGTTACGACCAAGATTGAAATTTTTAAAAACTGCATCAAACTTTTAGGTTAAGGTCATGAGGTCAAATATAATAAAACAATCCGAAAGGTCACAAGTAATGCTCATGTGAAAAAATTCGAAAGCCTCGTATCTTCGAGAGCAGCATTTACGACCAAAGGTAACACTTTAAATAAGTAGGTCAAACTTCTAGGTCAAGATCATAAAGTCAAAAATTATGTTTTTTCTGAAAGGTACACAGGTAATGTACATGTAAAATACGAAAGCCTTATCTTTTCAAAATTTATCACTAATGTTAAAATTTTTGAAAAATAGATCAAACTTCAAGGTCAAGGTCATCGGGTCAAAAATCATAGTGCATTTGGAAAGGTCTTGTCACATGAAATTACCTTTAAAACATAAAAGCGCTATTTTTTCTCAATCAAACGTGATAAACATTGTTAAAAAAAATTGAAAAGTACTGTAGGTTTAACCTCAAGGTCAAGGTCACGAGGTCAAAAACTATAGTACACTTGGAAAGATTTTGTCATAGTAATATACAAGTGAAATATGAAAGCCCTGGCTTTTCTCATTCAAAAGTAATCCCCCAATGTTAAAACTTTTGAAAGTAGTCAACCTTCAAAGTTACGGGGTCAAAAATCAAAGTATATTTGGAAAGGTCTTGTCATAGGTAATGTTTAAGTGAAATATAAAAGCCCTATCTTTTCTCTTTTAAAAGTTATGATCAAAGTAAAAGTTTTTGTGACAGATAGACAGATGAGTTTTACTATCTCTCGCTTTCGCGAAAGCAGGGGACAAATATCCAACACAAAACTTAACATGCAAATCTAACAAAAAAACAAGCATATGCATTAAAAGTATATTGAAAGAAAAGAAAATAGAGATAAACCAAATTGGTCTGTTATATTTGTATGCATTGGAAGAAAGGAGGGTGGGACAACAATTCCTTCTAGCCTAGAATGAGTCAGTTTAATAACACAGAAAATCCAAGAGGATTCATATCACATTAGCCCCTCTCTAGATCCTCCTGAGTAAAAAAATACTTACACTTCCTGGAAACAAAACCATGTATATTGGGATCATTGATGGTGGGACTGTTAAATATATCGTCCATCAACTTGCAAATCATTTCTTCTGTGAGGTTCCGTGGTAACAAGACACATCTCTCATCTGCGTTTCTGTCGTAAGTGTTGGATCTACAATATTTCTTTATCACATCGTTTGAGAAGTTTCGAATGCAGAACTTCAGAGAGTTGTAAATTTCTAAATGTTTTCTTTCGGCAAATTTGAAAAAAGTTCTAAAAACTTCAGATTCTGCATCATTAGATGCAAATTGAATCGTATCTGCAGGGCTATAAAAAATAATGAACTTTTTCAATTTGTCCTTTCGTAATTCACTCAAAATATCCTCCGTGGTTGTGTTTGGTGCAGATTCCAATTGTAAGTGATTTCGAATTAGGTTCATACTCTTTTTCCATTCCTCCGACGCTAAATCGATTTGTTTCAGTGGTTGATTTTTCAACAGCATAGAGAATAAGTATGTAACCATTTCTTCTGTTGCGCTCTCTAGATCTCCTAGAAATTATAGTAAATTATTTGCGTTTGGAAAACAAAGTTACATCATAGTTGCTTAATTGTTAGTTGTTAAAGTGAATATATCAAATTTACCCTCTCAATTTTAATAAATGAAAAAAAATATGTGGCAATATTGTTTTTATGCTTACCTGTCAAGGGAGTTACCCAGTTTATGTTACTTTCGTCATCACTCCCAATCAAAGGAACAGTTTCTTCTTCTTCTGTAAGTTAAAGATCTAGGGTAACGACATTGAACAGTGTCGTATTTGATGATTCATTATTTTGAAATTCATCAATATTTTGTCAAATATGAGATTTATTCTTCATAAAATGATATAATCTTGTTGCTGTTGTCTGATCTTGTTCTAACGAACTTTGAACAAACATTGAATGTAAACTAGAAGACGATTTTCGTTGATTTTGAAAAAAAGAACACTTTTAGCACACCTGAGCCGAAGGCTCACGTGAGCTTTTCTGACCAAAATTTGTCCGTTGTCTGTTGTCGTTGTTGGCGTCGTCATCGCGAACGTTTTACAATTTCACCTTCTTCTCCATAACCCCTGAGCCATTTCAACCAAACTTGGAACAGTATATCCTTTGGTAAATGGGACTGAACTTTGTTCAAATGAAGGGCCACTCCCTCTTGCAAGGGGAGATAATTAAGAATTCGTGAAAATTTGGTGGCATCTTTTGAAAAACCTTCTACTGAAGAACAGCTGGGCAAGAAAAGATTAAATTATATGAGACCTTAATTACACACTGCAGATTGAAATTCGTTCATATCATAACCCCGGATGTAGGGCGGGCCACAACAGGGGAGGGGGTCAAAGTTTTACATAGTAACATATAGGAAAAATCTTTGAAAAATCTTCTTCTCAAGAATAGCAAAGCCATTATTAGTCATATTAATGTTCATGTAGAAGCATCCTCAGGTAGTGTAGATTCAAGTTTATTCATGACCCCTGGGAGTATGTTGGGGCCACAATGGGGGATCAAAGTTTTACATAGTAATATATAGGAAAAAAATCTTCACTAATGTTCTTCTCAAAAACAGCAAAGCCATGTTTAGTCATATTGATATGAAGGCATCTTCAGGACGTGTACACGTATATTCAAGTTTATTCAAATCATGATCCCCAGGGGTACCACAACAGTGGGTCAGATATTTACACAGGAATATATAGGAAATATCTTTTTAAAAATCTTCTTCTCAAGAACAGCGTAGCCATTATTAGTCATATTTATATAAATATCCTTCGGTAATTTCTATTCAAGTTTGTTCAAATTTTGACCCTCGAGGGTGGAGCAGGGCTACAACAGGGGATAAAAGTTTTACATAGTAATATGTTGGAAAAAATTTCTGTTCAAGATCAGCAAATCTATGATTAGTCGTATTAATACAGAAGTATCCTCAGGTAGTGTAGAAAAAGATTGTTCAAATCATGACCCTTGGGGGTAGGGTGGGGCCACAACAAGGGATCAAAGTTAAACATAGGAATATATAGGAAATATCTTTAAAAATCTTCTTCTCAAAAACAGCAAACTCACGATCAGTCATATTTACATGGAATCATCCTCAGATAGTGTAGATTGAAGTTAGTTCAAATCATGACCCCTGGGTGTAGGTTGCATGTGACAGAAATGGGGGTTCAAAGTTTTACCCAGGAATATATACGAGAATGTCTTTAAAAATCTTTTTCGCAGGAACAGCAAAGCCATGATTAGTCATATTTAGAAGGAAACAGTAGACCATGACCCCCAGGAGTACGGTAGGGCCACAATTGGCTTTTACAAATTTTTACATAGGAATACATAGGGAAAATCTTTAAATAATTTCCTTCTCAAGAAGCAGAGCTACTATTGTTAGGCCATTATTTACACACTGAATTGTCGACGGATTTTTCCGTTATTTCCCGATCAGGACAAGGAGCACACGGCTGGTGTGACCGGTCGGCAGGGGATGCTCACTCCTCCATGGCACCTGATCCCACCTCTGATGTCTTAGAGGTCCGTGTTTGCTCTGCTCCTATTTTGTAATGTTTAATGGACTTTTGAGCTCGAATACTGTTCGTTATCTCCACATATTTCATCAGTCATAATTATATGGAAGCATCCTTAGGTACTGTAAAAGTTTAATTGTTCAGATCATGACCCCGAGGTAGGATGGGCCCATAGAAAGTGAAAGTTTTACATAAGAATATGTAGGAAAAAGAATCTGCTGATGAAGAACAAAAGGGCTATATTTTCACAGGCGAGCGTTGTGACCACTGGGCCTCTTGTTCAATATACTTGGGATAATGTAGACCTACATAGTCAAGTGAAAAAACTTTGCAACGACCTCTATCATGCATGATTCTTTTCAGATATTTTCCATTGGAAGGACAATTCAAAAATACGCAGAGATATGCCTTTTGCTAAGTTTGATCGCAACTGAGAATAAAGTTATGAATACGACACCAAAAAAAAAAAATATCTGAAAACAGGACAGACATTGTATTTTCTTTGATCAGGAAAGCTCAGTTTGCCCAAAGAAATCAGACGTTTAACCATTTTACCGTTAACTAGCAATGTGCAATAAACAAATAAATTATAGTGAATGCTAGTAACCTTTGTTTAATTTTTTTCTTTTCAGTTTGGAAAACGTGATAATCAAAAGCAGTATCAACAGAGGAAGACAAATTCCTAGTGTAGCTCCGATCGTTATCACTGGAAAGTTGTATGAAGAATCCCCTGGGGATAAAGTTGTGTTGAAAAACGTTGATGAGTTGCTTAATTGTTCACTAGGGGTTGTTGTTTGGGTGGATCTTAAAAAGAAAAGAGAGGTAAAATACGATCGACATTATGCTTACCCAGTTTATTAACAAAATTCTGAAAAATAACCATGAACTCCACAAAAACAATTACATGCGGCATAAATAATATTCAATACTTTTCCGTTTATGCATTGACTACAATTATAGATACATTAATTATCATTTCTATTAGTTCATAACTAAGTTTACGTTGTTAGAAACCAGTGATATTTGTTTATTCTGCAATGGTATCAAGTCCAGTTATTTCTTTTGTTTTCCGTTCTGATGTTGATGATGAGATGTATATAAATATACCTATTCTGACAGGATGGTTCTACTCTGAAACAGTTTTGTTCTGTATCGATGTCTAAGCATTCCGGATCTATAAAAACAGTGAAAATATTATCATCAAAAGAAAGAGTAAATCTACCTAGAGCATGATAAAGAATAGTATATATTTTTGACGGAAAATCCACTGTGGTACTTATTTGTCTTCATGGGTAGATTTGTACTCTTATTACTGAACTTATTTTGCTCTTGTAAAAAGAAAGTCTGCAAAATGCGTACTTTAAAGGGTAATGCACCTGGCATCATCTTCTTTTTCATTTTACAAATGCCATTAAGTGGCACATACAATTTCATAAGCTTTTTAAAACAAAATAGTTTCAAAATAGGACTTCTACAATTCAAAAGAAATACATTTAAATATTTCGTCGCTGAAGTAGGACACGTTTGGACATCCAGCTGGGAAATGCGTACAGCTTTCATGATTCAAAGTACCAGTTCCTGCCAGTTCCGCACAGAATCCTTTAAAAAGATGAAAAATGCGGTTGTTTTGCAGAAGCTACTTGTATATTGATAAATAAAAAGTCCTGAATCAGATCAATTAAGTACCTTCTACAATTCTTGGCCGGACTAGATCATAGCAGAATTCAAGAAGAGTCGTCTTTTCCTGGTTCGGAATACATAAATATCTTTGCTTCAGTGTTTGATCATGAGAACATTTTAAACGCTTAGCTGATGTTCTCCATTCTTCTTCTGTTTTTGGACAAGATTTTACTGGATTTACGGGATACCGATATTTTGATTCCTTAATGATAATGTATAACAATGTTTGACAATGTAAGAGACCGGCAAAATTTTAATGTAAAAAAGTAAATTATCTCTCAGTACAAATATCTCTATAAAGTATTTCCTTAAAATAATGACTATAGAACCTGGTATGGGATTTGGGGCATATCAATTATCATATTTTTTCTAATGCTGGGCAATCACTGAGAAAATTTATGTAAAAATGTATGTTTTACTGACACAAATCTCGGACTATTAGCACAGTATTGATAATCAGCTGGCCCAAAACCGGGGGGAGGGGAGGGTTACGCGATTTGCTTGAGCTTTACGTGAGCTTTGTGTGATCGGGTGATTGAATGTCCTACTTTGAGAAAGAAGACATACACTTAACTTCTTATCTAATTTTGAGACTGTTGTAACCATGACGTTACAAAATATATTTATACATCCTTGTCTATCTGTACCAGATATTGACCCAAATAATTTAACAAACTATCTCAAGTAAGTTTTTCGATTCGTTATCATTCTGTTTTTATGTGGATGAGAGAGAGTAAAATGTTATTCAGTGTACACTGTACCTGTTCGTTAGGCATCTTTTTTCTGGGCGTTTCCTTCTTCAGCTCTTGAACAGAAAGTACGGGTTAATTTCCGGGTGGTTTTAAAAAGGACATTAACTCTTTGCTTCTAAAACAGGAATGTTTCAAAACTCAAAAAAAAAAAAAAAAAAAAAAAAAAAAAAAAAAAAAAAAGTTTTCAGGAGGGGGCAGAAGCGCAGGGTGTGTTAGCTTCCATGTGGACAAGTGAATATTCGTTCCCCCCAAAAGTAGACCTGCTTTGGTTAAGCATTTCAAATTAACTTTTCTTTAAACTCTGTCTCGTTAATTGTCTTTTTGAAAAAGTTAACAATTATACTGCTTTGATGTTATACTAGTATCAGGAGAGGAATATAAATTGTGACTAAAGCATTATCATGATTATGATCAGAAAGACGTGTTAAAACTACAATATATCTACAAAAGATTTGTGGAAATTTGTTTCAAGCCTAAAGCTAAGTTGAATTCATACCAAAGCTAAGTTTCAAGGCTAAGGTCAAGGCAAAATAAGCGTTCCA